AAGCTTTACACAACTGGGTCCTTTTCTCCTGGTTACCAAGGTTACTAGCCACAACTACCATTCCTAAGAAAGGAAGGCATGTACCTGGTTTCAGTTCAAGCTGAGGTAGTTCCTTTCCTTATCTCCCTATAAGAAAGTATATGCTTAGGACAGCTATGATATTGGGCAAGTTACCTAATCCCAAAGCCTTAGTTTCCTAATTTCAAAATTAGGTAGTAAGGATTAACTGAAACAATGCATTTGACCCAGAACCTAGCTAGAATAGCTTTTCAACAAATCAAATGAAGTATTTTTGACTGCACTCTGGGCTTTAGTTTCCTGATCTGGAAGGATGAGCATTTTTTTATAACTTAAACTTCCTAACATTATTATAAGAATTATAACAACCAAGTGATATAAGGTATGAACAGCACTTATGAATGATTTCATAAGAAGTGTGTAAAAATTGTACATTTCTCTAAATCAGGTAATTTTCAGTTAAGTTTTTAATAATCTACTTTTGGGGGGCTGTAATCTCATTATGTTTTATAGGGAAGATAGGAGGGTGTGAAGGAAGGGCAGGGATAAGGGGAAAAAATGAGAACCAAGACCTGTCACGTAAAGGTACAAGATCCCAATGATGAATGTAACTGTATACCTAAAATGTACTAATAAACTCAATGAGGAAAAAAAATCTCATTATGTTTTGTGACATTCTTCCTTGTCTTGCTTTCCCAACTTAGGGTCTTGGAAGGTCTCTAGGCATTTTATGTTGGATAGGACATCTGGAGCAAGGCCTCTGGTCTTCTGACCATGATGGCTATGCTGGAATGTTCCTTGTTCAAGCTGACACATCCTGAAGGGAGTGCTGCTCTGAGATTGCATGCCTACTCTGGCAGTGATCATTCTCCAGTTTCCAGAGACTGAACTCATGGTGTCCTCTGTGGAAGTGAAATCTAGGCTGCTTTTCTCCATAGAGACTCTGTTACAGAATTTGGCTTCCATTGCCTTTGCCTTCTGGTGTTATGAATATGGCAACAGAGACTTTGTAGATATAGTTAAAATTAATAATCATATGACTTTAACATAGGAAGACTGTTCTGGATTATGTAGGTAGATGTAATCAAGTTAGATGAGCCCTAAAAGGATTTTTCTCAGCCCTATAGTAGGAGCTATTTGAAAAATGAGAAATATGTAGTGTGTTTTATTGGTCTGAAGATAGAGAAGTCAGGTATTAAGGACACGGCTCAGTTATACAATCAAAAGGGACTAAATTTTACCAACAGGCTAATGAGCTTGGAAGTAGATTCCTTTACAGAGCCTCCAGTTAACAGCTCAGCCCAATTCACACTTTGATTTCAGTCTTGGAAGCTCTAAGCAGAGCGTGGATTTCTGACTCACAGAACTTTGGGATAATAAGTGGGTGCTATTCTAAGCTGCCTAATTGGGGTGATATATTAAACAGAAAAAAAGAAAATTAATATAACATTCAAGAATCTCATTTCTTTTCTTAGTCTTGGAAAATTTTCCCTTGTTAGGTCCAGAAGTTTCTGTTATTTCAACACTAAGCCCTTAGAGACAGGTACAATGTGATAGTAAGTGAAGTGTTTGTTAAAACCTAGGAGCCATGGTCACAAAATAATTAAAGGCAAACAGTTTCTGATTATTTATGTTTTTGATCCTGCAATTCAAAAAGCTTGAAGTTTAGGGGATGCAAAGATTTAGGTACCTAATGATGGGAGGAATGATCAAATGTACAAATTCCAAAATGACAATTTCAGTAAAATTTCTTGCTACATACATAAATACTTAGCCTACTGCTTGATACACACTAACCAATGTACTTTGTACTTGGAGAATTTATTTTGATTTTTGTTTTATTTCCAGAGTCTAAAATTGTGTTTGTTTCTGCCTGTCCTGACCTTACTTAATTCTAAGTTGTCAAAGCTGTCTTCAATACAGTGGTGGTAACTGCTTCTTAAGTAAAGGGACTCAATATGAAATTGCTGACATTTAAGTTGTTTTATGGCATGATGGCTCTACCTTAAAGAATTTGATCTTCTCATCTAGGAATAGCAGAGACAGAGAAAAAAATGCATATCTGGCTGTGGAAATTTTGTTTCTGCATTAAGAGCATGCCAGATAGCCAGATGTTACTCTTCTTATGCTGTAGGTCAGTATTCTATGGGTGGTAGGGAGAACTTGTTCTAACAGAGCTTTCTTGGGGGATAAGTGTGCATATTCTATTATGTCAACACATAGCTTATTTTCAGGTCCCTAAATCTATCAGATATTACCAAAATGGCCTTCGCAGAGAAGAATAACATAAGATTATCAGAGTCAATGAAAAAGCAAGAGATAGCACACATGACATAAAAATACTGTTCACAGAGGTAATGGCAGAAAATTTCCCAAACAGGGAAAAAGAATTTGACATACAATTGAGGCATATAAAACTCCAATTAGCTATGATAAAAACTTCACCAACGTGTATAATAGTCAATATTATAGAAATTCAACACGAGAACAGACTACTAAAAACTGTCAGAGAAAAGAAACAAATCACCTATAAAGAAAGCCCATGAGAATCACAGCATACTCCTCAACACAAACCCTTAAGCCAAGGAGAGCTTGGAGTAAAATATTTTAAGCCCTAAAGGTAAACAACCTTCAACCCAAATTAATATAACCCCCAGAAAACTATCTTTCAAAATTGATGAAGAAATAAGATACTCCCATGACAAAAGACATTTGAGGAAATTCAAGAACACCAAACCAGCACTCCAAAGTGCTCTGTAGAATGTTCTAGAAAGAGATAACAAGGATTACAAATTCAGTAGTGTAGCTAGATACAAAATCAACATTCAAAAAACAATAGCCTTCCTGTATATGAATAACAAACTCATTGAGAGAGAAATTAGGGAAACAACACCTTTCATAATGGCATAAAAAAAGAGAATTACCTAGAAAGGAAATAAAAGACCTCTACATTGAAAACTACAGTACTCTGCAAAAGGAGATCAAAGAGGATATCAGAAAATGGAAAGATATCCCTTATTCTTGAGTAGGAAGACCATCATGGTGAAAAATGGCCATACTTCCAAAATTGTTATACTGATTTAGTGCAATCCCAACAAAAATTCCAATAGCTTATCTTACAGAATTAGAAAAAATAAACCTAAAATTTATTGGAACCAGAAGAGACCTAGAATGGCAAAGGCAATTCTGGGAAACAAAGGCAAGCAGGGGGCATCACAATTCTTGACTTGAAATTATACTACAACACTAATGTAATAAAAACAGCATGGTAGCTGGGTGTGGTGTCACACACCTGTAATCTCAGTACTCGGGAGGCTGAGGCAGGAGGATTGCTGTGAGTTCGAGACCAGCCTGGGATGCATAGTGAATTCAAGGGCAGTCTGAACTACATAGTGAGACCCTGTCTCAAAAAACCCAAACCAAAACCAGAAACAAAAAACCAAAAAACAGCATGCTACTGGAAAATCAAAACCAAGCCAAGCCAAACCAATCAAACCAACAGATTTGAGGATTAATGGAACAGATTGGAAGATACAGAAACAATTCCAGACATATGCATCTTTGACAAAGGAGCCAAACACCTTGACCAGAAGAAAGCCTCTTTAATAAATAGTGCTGGGAAAACTGGCTTTCCACTTGCTGAAGATTAAAATTAGGCCCGTATCTTTCATGATGCCCTAAATTAAACTTGAAATGGATTAAATATCTAAATATTAAAATAGAAATACTTAATCTTCTGGGAGATGGAATAGGTAGAACTCTTGAAGGCATTGGTGTAGGCAAAGATTTTACGAACAAAACCTCAGTCACACAGGAAGTATCACAAAGAATCAACACCTGGGATTTCATCTTATTAAAAAAGCTTTTGCATAGTGAGAGAAACTACCAACAGAGTGAAAAGATAACCTATAGTGTGGGAAAAATTTTTTGCCAGCTATTCCTCAGACAAAGGACTAATATCTAAAATATACAAAGAACTAAAAAATATCAGACAGCTCCAATTTAAAGAGCAAATTAAAAAATGGGCATCTGAAATAAATAGACATTTCTCAGATGAATAAGTAGAAACAGAAAATAGATATATGAAAAGATGTTTAACATCACTGCTTATTCAAAAGATGCAAATTAAAACAACATTGAGATTCCATCTCACTCCAGAAAGAATGGCTATTATCAAGAAAAAAGAGAAAAATCAAAGGAAAAAAGAAAAAGATTTTGTGCATAAGGGAGGGAGGAATGGAAAAAAAAAGAAGCAAGATGTTATCATGCACTGGTACAAATTCCCTATCATGAAAGTTACCATTATGCATATCTAAAATGTACCAACAAATGCTTTGCAAAAAAAGAAAAAGAAAACCCCCAAATACCAAAATGGCCTTTTACCACATACCCACCTATTCTAGTACTTTTTTTTTCTTTTTTTGGTACTGGGGATCATACTTGGGACCTTGCACTTGTGAGGCTAGTGAGGTGCCACTGAGCTAAATCCCTCCCACCCATCTATTCTAGTTCAACATAGTTAGAGTTAGAAAAACCTCTCATGAAATTGACGTGGATCTTCTTCCAACTTTGGGCCTCTAATCTGCTTCAACTCTCTTCACTCTAGATAGCAAATATATATTTGTGTGCTTCTATGTGTCAGGCACAATTTGGTCCCTGGAGACACAGAGATGAACAATACAGACCTAGTGATATATATCTATATATATCTTAATATTAACATATATACTTTATATTAATATATAATATTTATATAATATGTAATATATTTAAATATATAATAGATATTATAATATATAATATAATATATATTTAAGTACATACACATATATATTTAAGTTAGTACACGATTGCAGTACAGCCTTATATTCTATAAAGAAGAAATCACAACTACATGTTTTAAAATAATTTGAAGTACAATGACCCTCATAATCTTTCCTGACAGTAGAGATTTATCACTTGTTGTGAATTTAATCCCAGGCTCATTTAAAAATACCAACTGGCACAGCTCAGACCTGAAGACTGGCCATGTCATAGAGGAGCTGAAATGTGCATGTGATTCAGAAATGACATCAGATTTCCCTATCCCAAACCAGCAGACCTCCTTCAAACTACACCAAATTATTCCAAACCCGCTCATCTTTACTTGTCCCTATCCCTGATACTCCACTCTACTTAATCTCTACTCTGTATCCTGTCTTGCAATACCATGCAGGAGGTTGGATTTCTGCCAGCACCAAGGTCAGCTCCAGCAACTGGTAGGTTATACAGCAGCACAGGAAAGAGCAGAAGTAAAGCTACCTGCTCTGGCTCACTCAACTAGATCAAATGCCTCCATGTTCACAAAGCGGAGGACATACACCATGGTGTGCTATGCAACGGCCGGTGTGTGCATGTGAATACATCTGTGGAAGCACATACACACTTAGAGCAGTGTCACACACAAGACTGCTTCACTCCGGCTCAGTACTGGTTCCCCATTCTTCAGGTACCCAACCGCTTGGAATTCAACCTAGCAAGTATTACATACCTCATGCCCCTCACTCTGTGACTCAGAATTCAGCCACAATTCAGCCTGGCCCCTCACTGATTTTTTTCTTTGTAGCCCCATAAATGCTCAGTGAGGAGGCAGATACTTTATTGAAATGCAATTTGTAGGGTACACTTGCAAACCACCAATCTGGAAATAGTCAAAGGATATCTTGGACCAAGGGTGTGTTTTTGTGTTTTCATAGGCATGTGCACTATTGGTGTATGACTGTTAGCACATGTTTAGAAGGCGCATTACTGAATGTGCATATATTATGCGCGTATAAGTCATATCCATGCTTTTGAGAAAGCATGTGTGCTTTGAGAATGGGGATTGCAGGGCTTTTTATGTAGAATACAGTCTTGGCCAGCATGTATAATTGTGTGTGTGTGTGTGTGTGTGTACTGCTAAGTGGGGAGATGAATGTGTGCTATACTCCCACATCTCTAGCTGGGCACCTACAGACCAGTTCATTCCTGTCTCTCTGATATAGCAAGCTGAATAGCACAGTTTCTGCAGGCAATCTTCCCTACAACTCTGGATTCACTTGGAGGTGGGAGTCCTGGGAACAGGATGGGGTCATTCTGGGCCTGGGGGTCCCCCTTGGCTAGTTCTTCCCCCTCTATTCTTGGAAGTTCCCTCCCCAGACTCGCTTTCATCATCAGCCTCGGCCAGGTCTTCAGGCACTGGCCACTCTCGAGTCTGCCACTCGAGTCTTTCTATTCGGTAGGCAATCTTGAGTGCACTGGACTCCAGCTCAGCCAGTAGGCGAGCAAACTTGGTCTGCAGATCATCAAGCTGCTCGTCAAGGCCTCTCAGTCGGGACTCTGTGGCCTCCTGCAGGGCAATTTCAGCTGCCTCGGCGTTCACGTCCAGTTTGTTCATTTTGAGCAGGATCTCACGGCCCTTCTCCTCCATGACAACCTGGGCCTTTGGATATTCGCTGAGCACCTCCCGCAGGTCCTCTTTGCTTAGGCAAAACAGGTCTGAGTAACCTAGGCTCTTGATGTTGGCTGTGCGGCGGTTCCCAGACATGTTCCCTGTGGGCCATGGGCAGACAGATGGGAGGACAGTTAGGCAAGGGAGGGGAGGTGGCATTTCACTCTTTTATCAGGACCCTCACCTCCATATTTCTGCTTCTACACCACTTTTCTGCTTCATTAATTCTTTCATTTGGTAGCGTGCTGGGGACTAGGCTAGGTGAGTATCAATGGCCTGCCTCAAAGAATTCACAAGAACCAGACATTTAATAGGGTAGCTATGGAGCAGTGTGGCTGGTACAGGGCAGACTCATGCATTGGGTACCGTGGAAAGATGGACAGAGGATCCCTACTAAGCTAAGGGCAGGCAGCGAATGCAGTGAATCATGGAGGAAGGGGTGCCTAAATTGGGTAGGAAGTAACTAGGGGAAGAGGGGGAGGATGAGAGAGGAAGACAGTTTAGCCAGAAGGAAGAGCATGAGCAGAGGGATGAAGCAGAAAAGAGCCAGATGGATGCAGAAGACAGAATGCAGTTCAGAGTGGCTGAAGTGCAGGCCATGGGGTGAGTGGAGAGAGGAGGGTGAAGTTTACTTTAAATCTTGTAAACCGGGGCAAGGAGTTCAGATCTTATGCTGAGGGCAGTGGGAAACTACTAAAATATTTTAAGCGGGGGAGCTATATGGTATTATTGCCTTTTTTTTTTTCAGTACCTTGGGCCTTTGCCCTGAGCTACAGCTCCCTCTCCTCCTCCATCTTTTATTTTGAGAAAGTGTCTTGCTATGTCCCTAAATTCCTCAGGCTGGGGTCAAACTTGTGATCTGCCTTCCTCAGCTTCTCAAAGTACCATGTGCATTTTAGAAAGATGGTGGTGAGAGGCAGGTAGGAAAGGAAGCTAGATACTGCCAGGCCTGAGAGAGAGAGAGAGAGAGAGAGAGAGAGAGAGAGAGAGAGAGAGAGAGAGAGAGAGAGAGAGAGAGAGAGAGAGAGAGAGAGAGAGAGAGAGAGAGAGAGAGAGAGAGAGAGAGAGAGAGAGAGAGAGAGAGAGAGAGAGAGAGAGAGAGAGAGAGAGAGAGAGAGAGAGAGAGAGAGAGAGAGAGAGAGAGAGAGAGAGAGAAAGAGACAGAGAGAGAGAGAGCGCTAGAAGAAAATTAGAAAATGTCCATTTGTTGAACATTTGCTATATTGCACGCACTATGCTGCATGTCTCACTGATATAACTTATTTATTTTCACAAATGACTCTCTCTGGGCTTTCAATCTTATTCTCATTGGGTGGATGAAGACATTAAAGGTAAAAAGGGAAAGTGATGGTTCAAAGACAAGCTGAGAACAGTGGACAGCATACAGGAGGTGGAAATTGAGGAGGTCCTAGGAGGGCACCCACGAGAAGTTCAGACCCTCAGGCTAGGAGAGCAGGTCTACAGCACATCTAATCTCATGCAGTGCCGGTGTACTTTCATGGCCTCAGTTTCTTTAACGACTCCTACTGCACAGAATGATGAAAGGAAAAAATGAACTGCTGTACAAAACCTGGCCTGCTCTGTAGTTGATGGCCAATAAATGGGAATTTCCTCTCTTTATTTTTCAGTTGGCTGTGAGAAAGTCGTTCCTTGTACTGATCCCAAGAGTGTGTACTTATCCCCTATGTAACCTTGGGCAAGTTACCAAACCGCTCTGAGTTTCAACTTCCTTATCTTTCAAAGAGGACAGGATGGGGACCTATCTTATAGAGTTATGTGAGAATTTAATGAGTTGAAACATTTGAAACTCTTAGAATGGGGCATGTAGTGAGCATGTGATAATATTACTGAAATTACTATCACCTTTGTTATTTTCCACTGGCTTGTTGGTGCTGCAGTCAATGCTCACAGAGCATGTCCACTCTCTCTCCCAAGGACCCAACCCGCTCACTGACTTTGGCTTAATTTCTTTTCAGGCACTCCTTGTCCCACTTATCTCCTGACCCCCGTAGTGACTCAGGTAAATTCAGGTTTCCTTTATGTGTGCCTTGAGGTAGTACCTTGTTCCATTCTTGGTCCTGGTATGACCATGTCTCTCTTCAGCCCCATCCCTGGCATAAGTGCTGGGGTGCCTACCTTTGATATTTATGATGCTGATCTCCCCAAAGTACAGTCCTGCACCAAGCACAGCATACTGTGTGATACCGTCGTCTGCCACCACAGCCAGCTGACCCTCGCGGATAATGTACATCTCTCGGCCAATGTCCCCCTTGCGGCATACGTATTCACCAGGTGAGTAGGTCTGGGGTTGCAGCTTCAGCACCAGCTCCTCCAGCAGGCTTGCCTCACAATTCTGGAAGATCTGTACCCGGCTCAGAGTAGACAGATGCACCGAGACAGCAACCTCTGCCCGCAGTCGCTCAGGCAGGTGTTGTAAAATGGCTACCTCATTGGTCATCTTCTTGTTGATCTGCAGATGCTGGTACCTGAGGGAAGGGACAGTGTCACTTTCTCACCAGCCCCCTACATGCTTGTCATGACGCTTCCTATCAGAGTTCAGTTCAGCCAAGAGCCTGACCACACTTACTTCTTCTCACAATGGTCTTGGGGGTGCATGACAGTCGGCTTTCTTGGTCAAATACATGCTTTGGCCTCTTCTACCTCACCCAAATCCTGGAAGCCTCCACTGTTTGACAAGGGATAATATACCTTTACCTCCTATTAGGCTCCACCCCACCCACCATCAATGTTTTATACCACCTCCACTGATAGCCACTTTAGCCACTAGGCTCTCATCCTTTTAGGGAGCCTTTTTCACAGGCTCCCCCACTGTATGACACTTCCTTTTGTTCAGAACACAGTATGCACTAACATAGCAGAGTCAGCCATCTTGTTGGCCACACCTTGGCCATCTCTACTCACTCCTTCCAGAGCCTTCTGAGTCCTACCAGGAAGTGGCTGCTCCCATTCCCCTCCCATTCCCATCCTCCATGTCATCCTTTCCTTGCATGAGTTCCTATCAGTCTCTTTCCCATCCTTTCCCAGAAGCTCAGAGTACCTCACTGAAGAAACGCCTTTCAAAACCCTCCTACAGATTTACCAATGAATACCACATTTTGGTTCCTTTGGCCAGTGGGTATTGAGAATGATGCCTCCCTAACTAAGTTCTACCTTGGGCCTCTCCCTGGCCTGATCTGGAACCTGACAATCTCACCAGTCAATAACTCGCCGCTCCAGTCTGCGGTTGACGTGTTGTTGCTTCATGTACTTTTTCACCAGCGCGTGATCTGGGTAGAAAGCCGCATCTGCGGTGTTCATGTTGTAGATGACAGAGCTCATGCTACCCATGATGGTGGCAAAACCCATGACGGCCAGCAGGAAGTCACCCACCATGAAGAGGTATTCTTCCTCCCGGGCTGGCAGTGGCGTGTCACCCACAGTAGTCAGGATCAGGGTGGAGAAATAAAAGCTGTAGAGGTACTGGCGCCGCAGACGCTCAAAGCCAGGCTGTGCTGGGTCTGGGTATACCCAGGCATCACGCCCGAAGCCCAGGTACCGGGACAGGGCAAAGTACAGGCAGCTGTTCCAGTGGATGACAACAAAGATGTAGAGCATTAGCTTGGCGATGCGAAAGGCATTTGGGTAAGCTGTGCGGGTCTCTGTTCGGTCGAAGGCCTCGAAGAGGCGGGGCACTCGAAGGAAGCGATTCAGCCTCAGCATGGGTATGTGTGGGCCTAGCTGCACGTAGACCAGGTCAGTGGGCATCAAGGAAGCCAGGTCCAACACAAAGCTCCATGTGCGAATGTAGCGACTGGCGATGCTACCTTTGTCCACCACGAGGATGCCCTGTTCTAAGAATCCTAGCAGGAGGAAAGGATGAGACAGCCTGGGATCCACTGTGGGTGAAAGTGGACAGGCCAGGGTAGGGGATGGAGGTAGACACAGGGGCAGGGTGGAGGTGGGCAAAGCCACTCCAGGGTTTCTGGGGTGAGTACAGCTATGTTGTCAAGCAGAGGCAGAGGCAAGTGAAAGTGGAGGGGGCCCCTTTCTCACTAATAAGAGGTTTTCTTTAGGAAGGGAAAAATGGGACAAAAGGCTCTGTCCAACCCCGGGGCTCACTGACCTGTGTGGAAGTGCACCACCATGTCCAGTAGGTACAGCAGGTCACTGGTGTAGTCCAGCACAAACCAGGCCACCAGATAACCATGCTGCAAGTCTGGAAAGCAGGCTCTGTGGGGCCGGGACAGGAAGGGTTGGCTTAGAATCTCTTTCTGTATGTAAGGCAGTCCTGCCAGGACCATTACTTGTCTTGAGCCCTTCTATGGATGTTGCCCCTCCTTTGGGAACCGCCCAAGGGCCCACACCTCTCCTGGCCTCACTCTTTAGCCATCATCCCCCCTTAAGACCCTCTTTCAGTGACCCCGCCAAACCTGCACACGATGATGATGAGGTTATACATGACTGGGAAGACCATCGTGTTCAGCCACCAGTAGTAGTAATCCCCAGATGGATCCAGGACAGGCAGTCTCTTCCTGCAAGCAAAGGGAGACTTTGCTTCACTGATTCACCAGACATTCAATGCTGTGGTCATGGGGTAAGGAGAACAGATCTAATACTGAGGACTAGGACTCCTCACCTGGTTTTGGAGGGGGCAGGGGGACTGGACTCTGTTGTCTTCACTTTGCTGTCCTGGCTCATGGTTTTGTGGCCGGGTTGGGGCACTTGAAGTGTCTAGGGCCCCTCTGCCCTCTGCCCACTGGGGGTAGTGCTTCACTGCCAGGAAGAGGCTGCTTTTGGGCTCCGGCTGTGACTTCCCTCTGCCTTTGAAGCCCTTAGCAACACAACCAGAACTAGCAGTTACTGAAGGGGTGGAGGCAGTGTAGCTCTAGCACCCTGCCCTGTCTCCCAGGCATAGGCTCACACTTGCCAGCTAAACACCATTAATGAGGTCTCTGGAGAAGGAACAGGGAGCATGCTTCAAAAGGATACTTGGTCCTTGTTTCTGTCTTCGTTTTCCTCTCCTTTAACTGCAAGCTGAGCTACATAGGGGCCCTGGAGAGCAGAAGATATGGGTTTCAATGTAGGTTCAAACTGTTTTATTTTGTGCAGGTTGTCTGCTGGGTCTCATTATTTATTTATTTGACAACTATTTGCTGAATGGCTTATCTGTGTCAGGTGCTAAACTAGTCTTCAGGGACAAAGAGATGCCTCTCATAGCAGATGTGAGCTCTGGGTTCACTCTCTATACTTTTATCTTTATTTGTATCCACCTGACCTCCTTCTGGATGGTGGGATGGGGCCATCTTATGGTGCTTTTGCCCTTATTCCTTTTCTATTACCTCTAGTGCCTAATGCCACCAACCATTCCATGGATTTTCTGGATCTTCAGCCTTTTGAAACTTTTTTCTTTTTGTGAATATGTATAAATCTCTTCTAGACACAAACGAGAGCCCTACTAGTTCTCCCTCAACCCGATGTCCCTTTCATTGCTATCATCATTTCTCAGTCAGCAAGTTAGAATCCTGCTATGGGCCAGGCCAACACTGTGCTAAGTATCAGAGACCAGAAGAGAGGGACATTCTTCCTTCCCTCCAGAAGCTTATAGCCTGGCAGGGGAAATAGTTAAGGGTAGACAGGTAATCACAGACCAGATAATAACACGGGCACAGTCATTGCCAGTGTACTGATGGACACTCACTCTATTAGGTGGGTACAAAGAGAGCTACTATAGTCCACAGGAAGATTCCCAACTGAGATGGGTTCTATAGGATGAATAGGAATTAGTATAGAGATGGGAATGTGAAAAGCACAAAAGAGAGACATAGTGTATGAAGTGTGCACTGTCAATCTGACCACGGATAAAATTCCTTATTTCTTTCCACCGCAAGTGTAGAATCTAAATTCCTAACAGGACTTACAATGATCTCCAGTGCCTGACCTCTGTTCCTGTCTTCAGCCCCATCTGATATTTTCTCTGCATGTTCCTGAGGATCCAGACACACTATGATTGGGGTTTGCAGAGCACGTTCCATCCTGTCTTGCCTTGCTAGTCCTTTGGGTTGTAACTTTTAATCTGTTACTACCTGTTTACCCCTAACTATTTCCCCCTGCCAGGCTGTAAGTAAGCTTCTGGAGGGAAAGGAGAATGTCCCATACCTTTTGTCTCTGATACTTAGCACAATTTTGCTGGCAAGATTCTAATTGGCTGACTGAGAAAGATGATTGTAATGAAAGGGACATAGGGCTGAAGGAGCATTAATAGGGCTCTTGTTTTGGTCTAGAAGAGATTTATGCATATTCACAAATTTCTTTTTTCTTTTAAATACTTTTTATCTTGAATTAATTTTAGGCTTATAAAAAAGTTGCAAAAATAATACAGGAACTCTTTACCAATTTTCCCTAATGTTATCATCTTGTATAACTATAGGACAAAGATCAAAACCAGATAGTACTGGCTCAATCCTGGAAACTTCAGACCTTGTCTCAAACTTCCATTTCTCTTAGTTTTATCTTACTCTTGCTTGTTTCTCAACACTCAGCTCAGATGATGGCATCTTCTCCTGGAAGTCTTCCCTAAAACCCTTCGTCCTTCCTTCCCTTCAGCCTCTGTATACACAAATCATGTTAAGTGCTGCTCCTAGATGGTTCTCCCACTACAGCACTGCTTACACTACGCCGCAATCCTCTGTGCCTGGTTAAGGATCTGAGCTCCTGGAGGGCAGAGAGTCACTCTAATGGATATGGACATCAGCCTGTCCTGTAGGCGCTTAATCTTTGTTCCTTGACCAACTAAAACTATATCCGAAGGGTCACGGAGCAACACACAACATAATTGTTGCAGGACGCAGGAGAGGTGGCTGTTGGTGGAGTACTAAGGTACCACGCACACAGTGCGTGCACGGAGGGCAAAAACGAACTAGTGTTCTCTAGGGTTCCGCTTTTCTGCAGGGCCTGCCTACCTATTGACTCCTCCCCTAGGCTTACACTTTTCGGTTAGCCACGCCCCCACGCCCATTCTTCCGCCCTGAACACCACCCAGGACCCGCGGCTCCGCCTTTTTACCCTAGTTCTTCCATTTCTTTTGCTCTCCTACGCTCCGCCCTTCTGGCTTGCTTTGCCTCTAAAAAGCTCATCCCTTTTTAGGTCCCGCCTTCTGCCCTCTGGTTCGACCTTTCCTCCCCAGGCTCCGCCCTAGACCTGCGGGCCTCCCGCCTCTCCAGAGGTCTGCCCCCTATGATACGTCGGATTCTCCTTGGGGGGCGGGGTTTACAGCGGGAACGGGCGGAATCTGGTGGAGAAGGCGGTACTTCTTCCTCCGAATGCCGTCGACCAGCCCGCCTCTGCGCTCGGCCGTTGCCAGGAAACAAGCGTCGACGCTATGGCTTTTGCTTCCCCCAGCCAATGAGCTGTCACGTCATTGCCCAGGCCGGCGTCCCTGGGCGGTTACGTGTGGCGCGCGGGGGCGCGAGCTGCGTGTGGCTCGGGGCGGGGCGCGGCTTGAGCTCCTGAAGAGCGATGGCGGCGGCCTGAACTCACCTTAGCACATCCGCGACAACAGGGCCTGGCCCAGTTCGGCGCTCAGTGAGTGAACTGTACGCGTGGGTCAGAGGGCCCGAGAGGCGCGTGAGGGATGAGGGAACTGGTGAATGATGGCACCGTCTTTGGTGACTACTGGTTGTGAGGGGACGGGGTGAGGAGTTGGCAGGTGGTAAGGGGCTGTGTCTAAGGTAGGGGAGCAGGATGAGAGGCTGGGGTGAATGGACAAGTTAGGGCCCGGTTGTATGAGCCGGGGTGCTTTCTGAGGGGCCAGGTTGAAGGAACTCGTGAAAACGGAATCCGAAGGGACTGGGGCTCCTGAGGGCACGGGTGAGGGACAGTCCTGGGACAGAACGAGGGAGAAAGGCCCGTGCGAGGACAGTGAGGAGAGTAAAGGGTCAAGGTGGGAGCCTTAGGGGTGGCTGCGAGTTGACGCAGGAGTTGAAGGCAGAGCGAGGAAGAGGAAGGAAGATTGTGAGTCGTGGATAAAGGTGTAAGATTGGTTCTGGGTCTCCTCCAGTGGATTTTCCTGCCCAGTGAGAGCAGTAGTTTTAAACTCTGACAGCGTGGATAGAAAGTGCTGTGCGCTTGCTTTCCCACCCCAGTGGATTCTATATTTTTGTAGGGAGAGAAATAAAAAGGCATCATGGGCAATAGGAACTATGATAATGAAAAATCATTTTTGAGGCTCAGTCAATAGAGTAATCACTGGGGCCCCAGTTTCTTCTGGACTGCAGACTTGAAGGGGAGGCTGTTCATGAAGTTTCTTTCTTTTTCTTTTTTTAAATTACGGCTGCTTGTGTTTTCTCTCTTCCTGCTTCTGAGCAGTAGTATAGTAATCCATTGTTGTGCCTTACCTATGATTGGACTGACCTTATCTATATTGGACTGACTACTTTCAGTGCTGATTCAACTTTTCATGTGAGTTGCCTGATTAGCTATATGTAGCACTATACATTTAGGCTACCAAACAGGATGGCCTAGCTCTCCTTTTTTTTTAAAAGTTAAATTTAAAAAACTACTTTATTGACAGAAATTTATGTGCAACAACTTGCTCATATTTAAAATATACACTTGAGTCTTGACATATATACATATTTGTGGAACCACTGTCTCACTATCAAGATGCTAAACGTTTTTACCACCCTAAAAGTTTTTTCTTAATTCTTTGGAATTCATGTCTCCCTCCAGACCCTGTAATTGGGATCACTTTATTAATATTTTATTAGTCCCCTTTTCCCCACCAACCCACACATGAAAGTTTGGGAAAGTTGGACTCACTGAGTGATAATGGCCACTTTCATACCCTTAAATTTTCCACTCTGCTGACATTCTGTCATAGAACTGAGATTTCTTGACTTCCTCAAGAGTAGGAAGAGTTTGATTTTCCCAAAGACCATTCCCTGAGAATTAGGGGCAGCCACAGCCCCCATTATATTCCAAAGTCTCAGCCTCAGAACCAACTCTTCTAGTTTATGATATATTTTAATTGATTATCTCTGGAGGGGAACTTGGTCTTAATACTGATGGAAACTTTGGTAGCCTGTCTTAGGACTCTATAGGACTATATGTACAATACAGTTTAGAATAGTGATTTTTTTTTTTTTTTTTCTTGAGATAGGTTCTCACTATGTAGCTGAGACTGACCTGACCTGGAACTCACCAGCCCAGGGTGGTCTCGAACTCACAGCGATCCTCCTGCCTCCGCCTCCTGAGTGCTGGGATTACAGATGTGCACCACCATGCCTGGCTAGAATAATGATTCTTAAATATTGGGCCAACGACCATGATAGTTTTTATCTATATAAATTGGAAGGAAAGAAATAGAGACAGCTTAGTGAATTTTCCATAATGCTAAATTTACTCTGAGATTATCTTTCCTACCCTGTTGGTGTTAAAGTGCTCTTGCACTAATGAAATAATGATGATGATAGATGATTACTTTTTAAAAAATGTTTTTGTCAAAATAGAAAGTGACACTCTATTTTAAATTTGTAACTTTGAAAAGATTATTTCTACTAATTCATGAAATCCTGAAATTTAGGGTGATAATAGTATGACTTGTTTTATGTTGAGGTGTGTATTTATATGGCAATTCTGTATAACTTCTGAACAGCATTCATGCTTTCATAGTGTTTTTGCTATGAAATCAGTTTCATGCTTTGCAAAGCAATCACAAATTTTACTGGATTTACATAGATATGTTGTGAAGTAGGCAAAGGAAAGTGTTCTTACTTTATAGTTGAGGAATCAAATTCATAAGCTAGAGGTCGTAAGGGATAAAGTGGCAAAATTGAACTCAAAATTTGGTCTCCTGAGAGAGTGACTCTATAAAACGATTTGTAATAGTGTAAAGGTAATATGGGGCAAAGGGCATGGGATATTTAGGAAGTGTTGTGATGATGTGTGGAGGACCTTATAGTCAGCAAAAAGTGTATTTTATAATTTGTAATTGTTCTATTTTTAAATGATATTAAAGGGACTTTGAGAGTGTTGGAGTAGTTATGTTTAGTACTATATCCATGACATAGTAATAGATATCTATATTGCTTTTAATAATAGGATGAGTTCAGTCACACGTTAAAGGATTCTTAGGGACTGTCTGAATTATTGGTGGTACTGGAGAAAGTGCTGGATTTGGTAAGCTTATTGTTTGCTATATCAAATCTTTTGTCAAAATAGCAGTACATTAATTATAATGGATTATGACTTATGACATATAGTTGATTGGTAGGTCTGAGAGAATAAAACATAGATGAGGATGATACAGAGTTAGAAACGTATTTGTGATCTGATGTGTAACCATTTATTCCTTACCTGCTATGTGCAGGCAGTCTGATAAATGCTGGGAGAACAAACTCATTCATTCATATACAGTATTTATGCATTTACACATCTAGAAAATACTACTTAAGCATGTAGTCTGTTCTGTCATTGCTCTCATTTTATAGAAAAAAATAAAGTCATAGTCCTATGACATCTCAGAGTCCTTAGTCTTACTGGGAGAAACAAACAGGTGAAAAGATAGTTTGAATTTAGAGAGAAAATTTAAAATATAAAAATATGTAATGAGATGATTACTTCTCTTTATTTAGTCTCAGTCTCTATGTATCCAGTGTTCTTTTCATCTCCACAGTTATATGAAAAGTAACATGTCTAAAACAGAATTTACTGTATTTGCCCTGAAAGGCTATTTTTGCACTTTATGTCGAATTTCAATTCAGGTGAAGATTTCAGTGTCATTTTCCATACTTTCTGCTCCTTCACCAAAAGAAGTGAAGTCAGTGACTAAAATCTTAATACATTTCTGTTAACTCTCTTTATCTCAGTTGTCACATCTTGACTGTTAAAGCTTTAGTTTAGCTCACCTCATCTATGATCTGATTTTTTTTTAACAGTCCCTGGCCTTAAAATTTGCTCTTTTCTATTTCATGCCTAGAATGACCTTTCTAAAAGTACAAATATGATCATAGAATTTATCTGCAGAAAAACTTTGGCTCTTTGTATCTTGTAGGACAACATCCAAATTCATTAATATGGCCTTAGTTGGCCTCAAACCACCTCTTTAGCCTTATCTCCTGCCACTCCCTACTCTGTGTTCTAGTTTGAATTAATTGTTCATAGTTCTCTGACAAAAGTTACTTTTTTGATCCTTGAAATTTTTTTAGTAGCTGCCTCCTTTACTAGGAATGCCTTTTCTTCCCTGCCCAGTGATCTTTGCTTATCCTTTATGATCACTTTCACCTTCTCTTTGATATCTTCTTTGTTACTCTAAACGGAGGTGGAGATAACCCGAGGATTCACTGTTGTAAAGGGGAGTCACTCACTGTGTGGTAGAGATCCACTTTGTCAGATGAGGGGATCCCCGTAAGAAGCAGAGGTGGTATTATGGGAGGAGAGGGGATGTGCTGTGGCTGTAACCTGATTTTTCTGAGGAATGAAAAACAGGGAGAATATGTGAGGGCTAAGCTCTAGATTGCTAGTTTCCTATGAAGTGGGTCTTCTGTTTTGTTTTTCCTTTTGCATATCTATGAGGTTGTTAAATTTTTCTGTTTTCAATAATTGGCTTAACAAGCCATTCATACTGTGTCTTAGTTTTCTTGCCTAGGAAGAGCCATTAGACAGAGATACACTTTAAGACTTTACTGATTTGTTCTTGGAAGGTCATTTTGGTCTCTTCCTGACTATTACAGGCATTGCAGGTATGTCCCTGCCCCCAGCTTCCTCTTTTTCTTGCCTCTCCCAGGGCAAAGGTTCACAATTGAGGTTGAACCAGTTACTGCTCTATGTCTGCTATTCTAGATTGGTTCACATTCTTGCTTTGTGTGCCTGTGAAGCTATATTTTGGACCCAAATGAAATGTCTGACCTCAGCATTTTGTGAGCCTGAATAATAAGGTCCTTCTTCCCCTTGTTACCCTGTGGCTGAGCCAGAGGAGAAATCTGGAAAGAGAGAGGAGTCTACCCATTTTCTGCCCTTTGCTGTAGGCAGAAAGGACATCTTTAGAGGTTGCTGATACTGCACTCTTCTTTGTCTTGTTTTAAACTTCACTGGGAATCTAAGTAGGTGACAGGAACAGAAATTTATGGCCATATATATGTTTTTTTCAGTATGTAAGCAGGGCCTAGATTAAATGTTGGCTTGAATTGTGAGTTGCCAATTCCTATGTGGAATCTTTGAGATCTCTGAAAAGGGATGAGGAGGCAGTGGAGAAAGGTCCTACAGGCCAGTCATTCTTGGGGCTCTTTGATGGTTAAGCAGTTGAACATTATTGGGCCCCAAGTATTATGCAAGGTAAGAGAAGTTTGATAATCTTGATAATTAAGTTTTAGAAACTAGAGGCAGTTTAGTTTTGGACATTATAAGGTCTTACTTTGCTGAGGCTGGAAATTTGGCCTTTCTTCAGTTTACTGGGATGTGAGTGTGAAAGTGATGAGAGTGGTAAGGATGAGCACATGAGAGCGGCTTAGAGCTCTCAGAGGTATGAACACCTTGGGTAGACAAGATGAGAAAAAGGAAGGAGAAAAGAAACGTGTCATTTCAAGTACTCATTTTATGCCTGGAATGATACGTAGGTTATCTTACAGTTGACAGTATTTCATCAGGAATTCATTGATGAGGAATCTGGGGCTCAGATAGTGAAGTGGTTTATTTAAAATCACATAGCTGCAAGATGATAGATAGTAATTCAAATCTTTGTTTGAAGGATTTCAGAGGTACAGCTTTACCTACTAGTAAGTAGTACTTTGTTATTCTTATTTGACTGTAGGGTTTATATTTTCAGTCCTCAAATGAGGTATGATGGAGAAAGTATTCTGTAAACAGTAATATTTTTAATTGGTCAGACTCCTTGTAGGTGGCTGATGGTCCAAGCTGAGTTTGAGAAGTGTTTTTAAAGGGACTGTATTTACAAAAGTATGGTCAGGGTTTAAAAATGCCTACAAGGGCTAGTTTAAATGTCTCAGGGCTAATAACAGTAAGAGGGACTGGTGACAGGGGAGAGTTCTTGTCACTTTTCTGTTGGCCTTATCTTCTTTAGTCCATGCCTGCTTGGGACTTCAAGTCCTGGGAACATAAGTAAGTACTTTTCCAGTGGTTCCTAAGAAATCAAGTCTGAAAGACCCAAGGATTAGTACTGTGACTCTTCCACTTTCTCACCCTTTGTCTTTTCTTCCAGTGTCCTCCCCTGGCTAAATGATAGAGGGAAGTTTTTGGGTGGGAGCAGGAGGGAATGGTTTATTTTAACTTTCCTCTATCTTTACTTGCATATTTATCTAAATTGTTAACTGTTTACCTTCTTTCTCAGAGGAAGTGGTAAAACTTTTTCTCAGAATAATCCTTATGCCAGTGGTGGCAAACCTATGGCATGCATCCTGCAGCAGGCTGTTTGTATCATTGAAAGTGCTAAAAGGTTCACCATCACTGCTTATACCTTATTTTTCTGTTATCCCTATCTTACATATTTATAACCTCTCACTTTTTCAGGCTTTTTTTCTTACTTTATGCCTTTGAGATTCCCCATCCTAAAACAAAACATAAACATAAAAACTGTCTTGACTACATCCCACCCAAGTTTTTATAAGCTATTTGACCTATTTTTATCCTTCCCCATATCACTGAATTTCTTGAAAGTGTGTCTTACAAGCTTTTGATTTGTTCATTTTTAAGCTATAGTGTTTTCCTAGATTTATTAAAAACTTAAAAGCAGACCATTTTAAATCTTCATTTTACATCCTTGTGTGGATCTATACAGTATGGATGACCCAGTTTCTTTCTTTTTTTTTTTTTTTCTTCTGGTTTTCTTGAGACAGGGTCTCCCTATGTAGTTCAAGCTGGCCTTGAACTCTGAAATCCTCCTGCCTCAGCCCCTGTAGTGCTGGGATTATAGGTGTATGCCATCATGCCTAGCTGATCTTAGTTTCTTAAACCATCTTTTCCTTTCTTTCTAGATCATTATTCCTTGGATTTCTTCTATTTCTTATTACCTTCACAGTCTTATTTAAAGACTGCTCTTTGCTTTCCTAAATTCTGGTTTTCCTTAGGATTTCACCTTTTGCTCTTCTAATGATTTACTGATTTCCTTGGATAATTTCATCTACTTCATAGCTTCATCTATTACCCATATACACTGGTAACATTGAATTTCTAGTTTTGATTTCACTCATTCAAACTCAATTTCTACTTGTTTTCTGGATATCATGAAATATCCTGTAGGTGTTTCAAAATTTGATGTGTCCCAAACTGTAATCATCTTTTCTAAAACATTCCCCTTGATAATGTATTCCTTGTTGATTAGTGCATTATCTTTTACTGATAATCTCTTATCCTCCTTTCCTTTGGCAACTTTTGTTGTTTTTGCTTTGTGATTCAATCAGTCTGTTGATAGATTAGCTGCATTTGCATCTTACTTACTAGCTGGATAACTCAGCAATTTATTTAACTTCTCTGGGCTTTGATTTTCTCATGTGTAAAGTGGGTATAGTAATATGCATAGGATTTTTATGAAGTTTAAGTTAGCGACTCCATGTAGAGCTTAGAATGGAGCCTGGCACATAGTGAGTGCTAATTATGTTACCTTGCATAGCTAGCATAGTATGTTAGCTATTATAATTAAGTCAGCATTCACTTGCATAAACTTTTTTTTTTGGTACTGGGGATCGAACTCCAGACCTTGCGGCGGCACCACTGAGCTAAATCCCCTGGCCCTTTCACAAACATTTTTGAATGCCATGCATTGTGTTGGTACTGGGATTTCAAAGAAGAATGAATAATATAACTTCTTGTCAAAAGAGCAGAGACATTACAATATAAATTATTGGCAGATACAAGTCTGAGCATTTTCAGTATTGAATGGAACATGTTAATATAGAGGTAGATCCCAGATTACTTTTTTTTTTAAAGATACTATTGAAGCATCTTATAAATTGTTCACTACCATCTGTCTCTTTCTGCTCCACCTTAAATTACTTTCTAACATATTTTTAAAGCACTGTTCTCTTCATTTCCTTGTTTAAAAAAAATCACCTTTGTTTCTAGGGTGTAATAAATAAAATCCAAATCCCTTAGCATGATATTTATAACTCTCACCTGTATTTACCTTTCAGTTCAATGTGTTGTATCTCTTTTCTAGTGTGTGGTTAAGTCACACCAAACTTTCAGATGTTCTATAAATTTGTCACAGTCGTTCTCAGTACCATATTTTGTTTATATTGTTTTAAATATTAAAAAAGACTAGCACATCTGGGCATAGTGGTACATGTCTGTAATCCCAACACTTGTTCAACTGAGATAGAGGAATTGCCACAAGTTCAACACCAGCCTGGCATGAGTTCTTACTGAGTTCAAGGCCAGCCTGAGCTACATACTGAGACTCTATCTCAAGGAAAGAAAAGAAAAAGCCTGTCCTTTAATTCTCTCCATAGCCAGTACCTCACTATTAAAGATCTAAGTTAGATATTACCTCTTTGGAACCCTTGTATAACAGCCCAGGCAAAGTTAATTCCTTTATGCCCCTCTGACAGTTTCGTAAATATTTCTATTTATATTTGTTGGTATATATGTGTGGGCTCTCCCAGATGTTTTTATCCGTCTCTATATTTCTGTTGCTTGTTTAGCACAATTTCTACTACTTTGTATGGACATACATTGAATTAATAAGTGAGTAAGCCCTGACTTCTATAATACTGTCACTTTTATAATATTGCCTTTTATAGTACTGTCACCTGTCCTATGTCATCTTTCCTTTAGCATAGTCGGTACATAGTTGTGATCTAGTAATTGTGAGAAAGAAAGTGTTGATTAGTATAACCTTTGGTTAGTATAACCCGAACCCTCAGTTATCTCCTGGTTTCAGGTTTCTTTTTTTCACCCTTCTTTGAGTATAAAAGGGAAGGACAACGGAACCATACTTTTCCCAAGAAGATTTTATGCTCTTTAGAGACAATACTGATGAGGAGGTACTGGGTTGATGGAGAAGAAACTGGGCCAGCAGCAAGTTTGGCACTTTTTGTTTCTTCTTTATTTACCTAAGCATTCATTAATCGAATGAGTATTTATTGAGTCATGGGTACTACCACAGAAGTGGGGATTCAGTGTTAAAAATGTCAGGGTAAATTCTTTTCTCAAAATGCTAATATTTTAGTGGGAAAGATGGATAACTAATTTTAGATAATAGGACTAGGAAGTTAGAAAGTAAAGGTGGGAAGATGAACTATTTAGACAGAATTGTTAAGCAAGGCCTCTCTGAAAAGATTACATCTGAAAACTGAGCAACGAGAGCAGTGTGAAGAGCAAGAAAACATTCCAGGCAGAGGGAACAGAAAGTACGGTATTCAAGATAGCCTGTGTGACTGAAGTATGAATGAAGAGAATGAAGGATAGTTATACAAATTAGGTCATACAGGCTCTATAGGAACCAAGGTAAGGAATTTAGATTATTATTAGTATGACAGGAAATTGTTGGAGGATTTCAACAGAGGAGAGCTGTAATGTAATTTATATTTTAAAAATATTGCCCAGCTCGCTGTGTGGCAAGTAGGCTCTATAGAGGGTAAGAATGAAAGTATGGAAATCAGACTGGAAGCGCTTGCAATAGTGAGACATGTTTTAAGAGTGGAGATGATAAGATTTGCTGCTGAACTGGAAATTTTGAGGAAAAGAAGAAGTGAAGATGAAGCACAGGCTTTTGATAATGTCTACACTAAACATTTAGGTGGATATTGGTATCATTAATTGAGATGAAAAAGTCTGGTGGAATAAGAGTTTTGGTGGTAGAAGTCATGAGTTTTATTTTAAACATGTTAAGTTTCTGGTACTAGCTCTCTGTATAAGTATGTGTAAATGAGTGGAATATTCAGTGGAGTGGTAGTTCTGAGTTGTTTGTACTAGCAAGTGAAAAGAGGTAAGCTTTTGTTTATCCTTTCTATTCTCTTTGAATTAGATTTGCAAGTCTGGACTGGACAGTGACCTTTGGGCTTGTAACTCCAGTCTGGTGTAATCTCTGGCTCGATGGCCAGTTACTGGCTTCTACAGACCAGATGAAGCATACTGGAGACAGAAGTGGAGAAAGCCTCCAGCTGGCATATCCTCAGAGTGTAACCCTCTGGCTGCTGGCCCTGCCCAGTCTGCCTTATGGAAAGGATGAACTGGCTGGGCAGACTGGCCTCCCGGGGCCCTGGGCACCGTGTACCTCAAGGGGCCAGTCTTCAGGCCCCTGTCATGGCTGACCCTGAGACCTGCCTCATGGTCTTCAAGAATCACTGGTCCCAGGTAGGAGATCATATGCCAAAAGGGCCTAGTTCATTGGTCACCTGACTTGTCCTGACATGTGTTCTGTGTTCTGACTATCCCATTTCCATTCCTTCCATCTTTTTTTCCCCAGGTGTTGCGGATCCTGGAGCGGCAAGGCCCTCGGGTTGCTCCTGGAGGTGCAGATGATCTCAGTGCTGTGCGCAACCACACTTACCAGATGTTAACATTGCTGGCAGAGGATCGTGCAGTCCCTTCAGCCCCCACCGGCCCTGGGCCCCTGCTGGAGTTTGCTCTGCGTGAAGATCTGCTGACCCGTGTGTTGGCATGGCAGCTGCAATGGGATGAGCTTGGAGATGGGGTGGAGGAACGACGAGCTGAACAATTAAAACTATTTGAGATGCTAGTGAGCGAAGCTCGCCAGCCCCTGTTGCGGCATGGTCCAGTTCGTGAGGCTCTGCTGACCCTTTTGGATGCCTGTGGCCGCCCTGTACCTAGTAGCCCTGCACTGGATGAAGGCCTGGTGTTACTTCTCAGCCAGCTGTGTGTGTGTGTGGCCCAGGAGCCTTCATTGCTTGAGTTTTTCCTGCAACCACCTCCTGAGCCAGGAGCTGCTCCACGTCTTCTCCTCTTTTCTCGCCTTGTTCCTTTTGTCCATCGAGAGGGCACACTGGGCCAGCAGGCCCGTGATGCCCTGCTTCTGCTCATGGCTCTGTCAGCTGGGAGCCCTACTGTGGGCCGCTACATCGCAGATCACTCTTACTTCTGCCCGGTTAGCAGCAGTATGGCGGGGAGGCTATGGCATGTGGACATTGGGCAATCTATACAGGAGATATGGAAAGGCTAGGTACCAGGGCATCGCCTCCTGAAAGTACCCCCTGGATTTGAAAGCAGCTCCTGGAATTGGAATGGGTGTGAAACATAGGCCTAGCTGGGTAGGGAAGGTACTAATGTTTTTTGTGAACCAATGTTCCAGATGAGGTCATGGCACATTGAGTAAATACCTGCTTTGATAACAGTTCTTACCTCCACTGCCATGAAAATTCTGGACTAAGGGTTTCCATATCGTACTCTTATAGTTTTTGAGTCTTTGGTAACCTCCCCTAGGTGCTGGCCACAGGGCTAAGTGCCCTGTACTCCTCACTGCCACGAAAGATTGAGGTTCCAGGGGATGATTGGCACTGCCTACGACGGGAAGACTGGCTAGGAGTACCAGCCCTTGCACTCTTCATGAATTCCCTGGAGTTTTGCAATGCAGTCATTCAGGTAGGATTGGCATGCTTAAGTGGTAGGTCCTTGGTCATTCTAGGAAGATGTGAAGGGATGAATTCCCTGGAGTTCTATTATTCTAGCATCCTGGGGATAGGCTGCCTTCTCGTGTTACACCATTCTACTTCCTTCCATATAGTGATCTCCTTAAAGTCCCCTTTCTTTCATTGCTATAGGTGGCTCACCCTCTGGTGCAGAAACAGCTGGTTGATTATATCCATAATGGGTTCCTCGTGCCTGTCATGGGCCCTGCCCTGCACAAGGTGAGAGTTACAGTAGACAAGTCATGTTGGGTTTAAACTACAGGGTGAACTTCAGTGACACAACCAGTGTGGGAGGCAGGCAGTGTTGAGGGGATACTCCTCCTTTTTTCCCTGTCTCCTTCTGGTTCTTCCTTAGAACCCAGGGAAAATGACTTGTATTTTCAGAGAATTCCTCAGTTTCCAAACTTTCCCTTCCTCTCATCCAGACCTCTGTGGAGGAGATGATCGCCAGTACTGCCTATCTGGAACTTTTCCTACGTAGTATCTCAGAGCCTGCCTTGCTCCGTACCTTCCTGCGATTCCTGTTGTTACACCGGCATGACACCCACACCATCCTTGACACCCTCGTTGCCCGTATTGGCAGCAACTCCCGGGTATGGCCCTTACCTCTGTCCTGGCTTAATGTGGCTGAGCCATCTCTGTCTGTCAATAGTTTTCAGAGGGTGTTTCTACTCTCCTTTGGTTTTTGTCTTGTCACTTCAGGATTAGGTTATATTTTCCAGCATTAAACTTTTAGCCATTTTGGGTACAGAATTAAATTTACTACATTAATCTAGAACCTAATTACTTCTTTTCTGCCTGAGTACTCATCATGACTTTGGGTTTTGCCATTTTGTAACACCTGTGATGTAACATTGCTCTGAGGTTCTTTTTAGTTGCTTTTCACTGTGGCCTGCAGTGGTTGACTTGAGATCATTTTGGATCTTCTTCTACAATGATACCATGATGTGTAGGTACCACTAGTATGCTTACCTTCTTTCTCCTCTGCATTTGCTGCATTTGAACTATAACTAGAGGAACATATCAACCCACCTATTTACATTCCTTCTATGTACACATTTTTATTGAATGTTCACTCTGTGCCATGCTGTTTGCTGGTGCTGAGGATTGAATGATAGACTATTGCTGGTAGACATTACTGACTTCTTTGAGCTTACTTTATAGAGAAGATAGGCCAGTAAGCGCATTAATAAAATAACTAAAAATTGTGGTCAGTGTTATGTAAAAAACAAACAGTATGCTTAGAAACGAATTGGATGGCCAAGGCCTCTCGAGGACATTGAGCTGATACATAAAGGTCATGAAGGAGTTAGTCTAGTGAATACCAAGTACAACAGTCTAGATAGAGACCCTGCAAAGAACACTGAATAGGGCAAGAGCTTAATGTATTTTGTAAGATGATAGACTAGTATGACTGGAGATGTAGTGAACAAAGGAAAGAAGGAAATGAGATAAAAAGAGACAGGTAAGGTTTGGATTGTTCCAGGTATGGTAGCACATGCCTATAATCCTGCCACTCTGGGAGGCTGAGGCAGGAGGCTTGCAAGTTTGGCTCAGCTTGAGCAGCTTAGCAGTTTAGTGAGGCCCTGTCAAAATAAAGAATAAAAAAGGGCTGGGTATGTAGTTCATTGTGAAGGCTCTGGGTTCAATCCCTAGTTACCCCTGCCCCGCCCCCATTGTACATGCCTTGTTCATCAGGTTTGGATTCAGTAGGATTGAACATAATATAGGAGTAAATAGTTTTCAAGTAGTAAAGATCTGTAGGCTTTCCAGGGGGAGAAAGCATTAGTTTAGTTGTGGACTTTGTAGCATTTATTTTGGCTCTGAGGCCGTTTTTATTTCCTGTCTTAATTACAAAAATTGAAGTTTCCTGGATGTTTGTGTTTAAATAAAAGTTCTTCAGTTATTAAGAGTTCTGGAAAACTAGCCAGGCATCGTGAGGCACATTCTTGTAATCTCAGCTCTCTAGAAGGACTGTAAGTTTAAACCTAGCCTGGGCAACTTCATGAATTAGCAAGACCCTGGCTCAACATAAAACAAAAAAAGGACTTGGGATATAGTTCAGTGTGAAGACTGTGGTTTTAATCCCCAGTACCAAAAGAAATCAAAACAATAACAACAGCAAAAAGTTCTAGAAAACTTTTAGAATTAATGTATCTGGTAGAACAGTTTCAGGTCAGTGAGATTCTTGGATAGCTAGCTATTCTTTGTATAGGTGCAGGCTGAAATACTCCAGGCTGAATCTGCTTAGATCAGTGTTTCTGAACCAGGTTTATGGTTCAGAATCATCTGTGCAACTTTGAGGATGACAACAACAATAGGTTCTAAGATCTTAGATCTCTTGGATTATATAGTCTTTGGAAATCGTTTGTATTTTTAAAATGTTTTAAAAATAATCATGATACATGCTTTGAATTAAGATTTATTGATATAAATTCAAAGTTGGAGAGGTGCCTTGGACTCTAAAGGTTTAATTTTAAAAAGACAATAGCAGTTTTGTTATTCATTCTGCTGAAATTAGGCAAATAGTTTTACATTTGACCTCGTGGAATGTCTTGTTTGTGTTTAGCAACAGTTGACATTCTTTTACAGGTTACCCCTCCTCCCCCAGCTCTCTTTCTTTTTTCTTAATCTTATCCCTAATCTCTTTGTTATTTCTCATTGTCTTAAGTCCTTATTGGTCTTCTTTTGATCCTTTGGTTTTAGAAGCCTTTCATGTTTGGAGTATTTCTTCTTGTTTTTTTTCTGGTACCAGGGATGGAGCTCAGGATCTTGCACTTGCTAGGCAGGTGTGATGCCACTAAGCTAAATCCCCGGCTGGAATATTTCTTTTCTTTTTTTTTTTTTTGTACCAGGGATTGAATTTGGGTCCTTGCATTTGAGAGGCAGGTGCCAGAACCACTAGGCTAAATTCCTGACCCTTGAAGTATTTCTTCTTGATTTATGGTTTTTGGAGGAACCAGATCTCTTCTGACCCTGTTTTAGACATGTAGATACTTTCCTTTCTACTGTGTGGTCATTTCAAGCTTTAAATTGTTGGCTTGACTTTGTGACTCATTAAACCTGTTTTGTACCTTGAAGCGAATCATTCTATGTAGTCTGTTTGTGTGTCTTGATTATCTGGGTGAGTTTCCTATTGTTTTCATAACAGATTGCATTATTTTACAGTTTTAGAGTACATACTTGGGTTGTAGGTAGAATTGATTTTCTTATAGTTGTGAGATTGAAATCTCGTGTTTTTTTGCTAGCAATGCACTCTAGCTTATGGAGCCAACCAGAGGGTTCTTGGCCCCTTCATCTTCAGAGCTAGAAGTGAGGGTTACATTTTTGTCATATTTCGAATTTCTCTTCCTCTTTTATGCATCCACTAAAGATTTGTTTTTAAGGACTTGGGACTTGATTGAACCCATAATGTAGGATAATCTCCCATCTCCAATCCTATAATCTTTTTTTGTTTTTGTTTTTTTTTTAATTTTTTTTTTTTTGTTTATGTAGGATAATCTCCCATCTCCAATCCTATAATCTTTTTTTGTTTTTGTTTTTTTTTTAATTTTTTTTTTATTGTTTTTTGGTTTTTTGAGACAGGGTCTCACCATGTAGCTGAGACTGACCTGGAACTCACTAGCCCAGGCTGCTCTCAAACTCAGCAGTGATCCTCCTGCTTCAGCCTCCCAAGTGCTGGTATTACAGGCGTGTGCCACCACACCTAGCTCAAATTCTATAATTTTAACAACATCTGCAAAGTCTCTTTTACTATGCAAATGAATATTTATAGGTTCAGGAGATTAAGATGTGGATATCGTTGAAGGACTACTTTTCTACCTATCATAATAATTTTCTACCTATCATAATAATTATCATAATGAATTCTACATTGCTAGTTCAAGTGGTCATTTAAGATCAGCCTCCTGAACAACCATGCTGCCAAAATGTGAATTGCTATCTCATCTTTTTCCTGCTATGTGGTTGACTTTTAATTCTCCCACAGTTCATTAGCAAACAGCTAACACCTAGACTGTAACTTACTAGTTGTCTGAGGGGGCATACAGTGTCTGACATACTTGCTTCATAAGTGTAGAGAAGATGCTATAGGGATTCAGAGGAGTGAGGGAGAACTTAGTATGTCTTTTTTTTCTTTTTTCTTCCCTAGCCAGAAATTAACAAGCCTTCTTCCTTTTTTTAAAACGAAAGGTTTCCCCTAATCTGAACCCATCTACCTTTTCCTTTTCCTGTCAGCTTCCCTAAAGCTTTTATCTTTCCTTCTGACACACATGGGGTTGGAGAGGTGACTCACACTCCAAGTTCACAGCTCCACCCATTACCCAGTTGGGACTTTTCCAAGTTTCTTCTCAGTCCTTGTTGGTGGGCATCCAGTTTTGGTGTTGCTCTTGTCCCTGCTGACAGGCATTCACTTGGTTAGACTATTGCTGCTGCTTCCTGTTTGTCATTCACTTGGCCACAATATTTCTCAATGTCTCTCTTCTTGGGCTTTCATTCTAGTGTTGCTAGAGTCTCACCAGCATATATGCCCAGAGAGTCTGCTGTTATATATATGATCTGAGGAAACCGTTGGGTCTAACATAATTCATTTTTGTGTGTAAATAGTGCAGTCTTACTCCAAAAGTTCACTGGAATGGCTACTATATGGTAGGCCCTGTGCACATTTTTTGCTCTTGGAGTGGTTGCTTGGACTTGAGGGTTAGGGGAGAAGTTATCATTTGGTGAACAGTTTGGAGAGTAGAAAGATCTTATGGTGACTCCCTCCCTTCCCCATCCCCCAGCTCTGCATGGTCTCTCTGAGTCTCTTCAGGACTCTCCTGAACCTCAGCTGTGAGGATGTGCTGCTGCAGCTGGTTCTCAGGTACCTGTGGGGGCAGGGCTGAGGGATGGCTGACCCTCAGGGCCTTGTGCATTGCTGAAGTGATAACTGTATTGGGGTTCCTCATGAGTATCTTCCTGGAGCATGGCTTAGCCATTTTATTTTATTTTATTGGCTTGCTTTCTTCCTAATACATTCTGTGCCTCCTTTATACTCTTTCCCAGGTATCTTGTTCCATGTAACCATGTGATGCTGAGCCAGAAGCCAGCTGTACGTGATGTGGATCTCTATGGACGAGCAGCTGACAAGTTTCTCTCCCTAATCCCACGCTGTTGTCGGCACAGTGCCCCCAGCCCACCCCGTCCAGAGCATGCCTCGTGGGCACGAGGTGGGCCTAGCAGAGAGGCAGGGAGAAGGGAGGACATCATGGGTATGGCTTGGTTCTGGGTGATCCTAGCAAGAAGATGGGGCTTAGGTGCAGGGAGGGAGGTGACCATGAGTGGCCTTTTTTTTGTTGGGGGAAGTTGATGAGAGATTTTGCAAGAAGAATCCTTAACCTCACCAAAGAAATGTGGATTGAACTTCTGGGCAAAGCTTTTCTTCACTCCAGTCCTATACTCTTTTTTTTTTTTTTTTTTTTTTTTTTTCTTTGATGGTGGTAATAGTGAGGAGGGGAAAAGGGGTGGTAGATGAGGAAGAGGTTAATCTGGAGATTGGAGAGTCAGCTATCAAAATAGGCTCTATATTTCTACCTTCTTATCACCTTCTGTCTTAGTCTCCTTATGTATCTTACTTCTCCTCTCAGACTTCTGTCTGCTTGGTTCCTCTTATGCTCTTTTCCCTTCTAAAGGCCCAGGAAGCCCAACTGTTGATTCTTCTTCTGTGGTGACAGTGCCGCGGCCCTCCACACCGTCTCGTCTGGCTCTCTTCCTTCGGCAGCAGAGCCTGGGTGGCTCTGACTCCCCAGGTCCAGCCCCTCATTCCCCAGGGCTTGCTGCATCCCCAGCCTCCAGCCCTGGCCGACGGCCCAGCCCTGCAGAGGAGCCTGGTGAGCTGGAAGACAATTACCTGGAGTATCTGCGTGAGGCGCGCCGTGGTGTGGACCGCTGTGTCCGAGCCTGCCGTACCTGGTCTGCCCCCTATGATGGCGAGCGTCCCCCTCCTGAGCCCAGTCCTCTTGGCTCCCGGACTAAGAAACGCAGCCTACTGTCTGAGGACAGGGACAATGTGGGGCAAGGGGAGGAAGAAGAGCTTGGGAGTAGGGGGCTCTCTGGGAGTGTAGGGGAGGGTCCTGGCCATGTGCCCCCTCCCCAGCTCAATGGAGTGCCAGGACCATGGCCTGAGGGAGCCAAGAAGGTTCGTCTGGTGCCCCATCTGGTGCCACAGGAGGGAGCCAGGGAACTGCTAGAGGGTACCTCTGAGGGTATGGCAGGACTAGAGAGCTTTGGGCAAGAGCTCCATGAGCTGGAGGTGGCATTGAGCAATGGTGGAGCTGGCTCAGAGCACCCTCTAGAGCCTCCACTACCTCTTGAGGAAGAGGAGGCCTACGAGAGCTTCACCTGTCCCCCTGAGCCCCCTGGCCCTTTCCTCAGCAGCCCTTTTCGGACTCTCAACCAGCTGCCGAGCCAGCCTTTCACTGGTAAGCTACTTAGCCTAGGACTTCTCCTTGTGTATTCTTTGCATGCTCTTGACATGTTTGTGCTGATTTCTGAGACTTCTTGGCTATGTCATTTCTGTATACTTGCCTAGCCCTCATGCATTTTGCCTGGATCCCTTCCAGATGCATATCATGTCATACTTATGTCCTTGTATTTATCTGTCTTCCATGCTTGTGCTAGTTTGAGTGTTGACTTATTGTTTGAGCCTTACATGTCTGTCCTATGTGCATGTTCTTCCTCTTCCCCTAGTCTGGCCATTTCCTGAGATATGTGATTAGAATATTTTATTTTTTGTTTTTTGTTGAATCACGAAAATGTATCTGAACTGTATGGAAGACGTGTGTCTGGTGTGAGAGGTACATGTAAACCTCTGTTCTCAGTTGTTGTCACTGGTATGCCAGGTTATTATTGAGTATTGTGTCAGTCTTCCTATATCCTATATAGTCAGTTCTGTCCTTGTCACTCAGCTCCTTCCCTGAAGTCAGTTCTGTCCTCATCACTCAGCTCCTTCTTCCCTGCCTCTTTAAAGAAGAACCTAATTGTCCACTGTCCTTGTTCTTTCCTGGTTGCCTTGACCTCTCCGTGTGAATGCCTTAGGGATTTATGACTAGAAGTAAGGATACATGTAGAGAAAGTGAAACACCTTTTGAGTGCAAGTAACACAGTATGGCCCTGAGCTCCCTAGATGAGTCCTTTTGGGTCCTCCAGGATGCTTCTGTAGCTGGAGGACCTGACCTGAGTGGGTGGGCTCACTGTTTTTTTTTTTCTTCTCTCATTGAGTTTATTGGTACGTTTTAGGCATACAGTACAGCTACATTCATTATTGGTATCTTGTACCTTTACATGACAGGTCTTGGTTCTCATTTTTTCCCCTTGTCCCTGCCCTCCCTTCACCCCCCCTCCTTCCCCTCCCCATTTACAAACATTTTATTTCCATTTTTTCATTTTCTCCTATTTTTTCCTTTCCCTTATTACCTTTCCCCTACCCTTCCCACTTTCTCTACACTTTTAACCCTTTTCTTCCTATTTCACATTGTCAGTTATCTCATTAGGATCTTATGTACTATTATAGTTTATTCACACCAGAGAAACTATTCGGTATTTACACATGTGTGATTTATTTATGTCACTTAGGAGTATATCCTCAATATGTATCCATTTTCCTATGAGGCTCACTCTTTAAGAGCCAGTTGAACCCTTGTCTTGCTCTAATCCTCACATTGTATTCCCATGCCAGGGAAAACAAAAAAATCTTGGCAATCAATGCAGTGTTTAAAGTGAGGATCGTAGGATTTGGATGAAGCATACCTTAAGTTGGCATCCCATCTCTGCCTTTAATGGATATAAATCACTACAATGCTGGTATATTGTGAGAACTCAGCAAATGGTAGATTTTCACTAGGATTATCATTTCTGGGTTCAAGGCAGATTTAAGTTGACCAAAGGAACCTTTCATCTTCTAGTTGCTTATATTAATTATGATGTTCAGTTTAGGCACCGTTTTAATCAGTTTTGGTCTTCCTGGGCCTAGGATCCTCCTTGTATAGCACTGCAGCTTCTGCTCTAGAGTTAACTTCTTTTGCTTTCAGACAACAGAAAACATCTTTTCATTTATTTATCTTCCACTCAGCTCCTTTGCATTCAGTACCTCTAGGACGAGGTGTGCAGGTTTTTGGTTTTTTGTTTTTTAAACCAGTCTTAAAGTATTAATTCAAGCTTCTTTCGTTTTTCTTCTTTGTAAACTTAAATGAGCTTTTTGAATTGTCTCTTATAAGAGGACCCCAGGCAATGAGAGGAATGAAATAATAAAGTTGTGGGTTATCTTAGGATCCTGTTAATCTAGAGTTACTTTTAAACTAAGGCTAGTTATGGACATTTGAAGTAAATGTTCTATGATCTTTTATAGGATTTTCTGCCTGTTGCCCCTAATTGTTTTCCTGTCTCAATGCATACATAGTTCAGTTCTGAGATACATTCCCTTTCTTCCAAAAAATTCCTGATCAGAAAGACTGTTGGTGCTAGAGTCCTAATGCTAGTGATGCATCTTTCTCCTAGTAGTTAATGTTAATCCTTTCTGTTCTCTGCCACCATGAATCAGATTACTGTGCCTCTGAATGAAGTTATCCTTTTGCTACATGTTCTGTTCCACCTTCTTGGTCCCAGCTCCTCAAAGAGCTGATGTCTTTTCTGGACCTCCAGAGATTTTTCCTCTAACTATAAATATTAAAGATAACCCCTTTGTGTTCACTATAGTTTCTTGCTTTCTTTTTGACCAAGTTTGTGATACTTTGTCTTATGTGGAACCTGATTCTATGTTTTGGTCCTAATCACTTTCTCTGCCTATTCATTTTTCTTTTGTGCCTTTTGGATGAAGCTTCTTAAAAAACTGAGAAAGTATTGTATAGCTTATAGTTCTAACAATACGTAAAATTTGCCAGATCCTAATCTTAATAGTTTATGTTAATATAACTTTAATCCTCTAATTACCTTATATAGTAGGTATATTTTCTTATTTTTCCAAGTAGGAAAGTAAAGCATGGAGAGCCTTATCAAGTAAGGTTCACTAGAAAAGGGTAAAGCAGAAATCTGAAATGAGGTATCTGTGATTCTGGAGCCTGAGATCTGGCTCTTTAGCTTGAATGTATATAAAGCCAGCTTCTAGACTCTTGTGTTTCATGTGGTGTTTACCATCTTACTTTCTCCATGATAGGTGTCACAGGACATTCCAGCATTCCCAGAGACTAACATAGACATATTTTCATCTAGTGGGGGTTTCTTGTTTTGGGGAGGAATGTGTGTGATGTGCATTGTGTTCAGGCCTTGTATCCTTGTGCCCACCTCCACCCCCCCAGGCCCCTTCATGGCTGTGCTCTTTGCCAAACTCGAGAACATGCTGCAGAACTCCGTCTATGTCAACTTCCTGCTGACGGGGCTGGTGGCCCAGCTGGCCTGTCACCCCCAGCCCCTGCTCCGCTCTTTCCTGCTCAACACCAACATGGTCTTCCAGCCCAGTGTCAAGTCCCTGCTGCAGGTGTGCGATGCATGCATGCATGGGTGCGTCCAGGCTCCATGGTGGGCCAGGCCCGCAGCTGGAGTGACCCTGGGTGGGCTGGGAACAGGCCCAGTGGGACTAGAAAAGACTGCATCAGTGTAAACCACCAGAAATGTCATCAAGTTGTGCTTCATAGGTGCTGGGCTCTGTGAAGAATAAGATTGAGAGCTTTGCATCCTCCCAGGAAGACTTCCCAGCACTGCTATCCAAAGCCAAGAAGTACCTCATTGCCCGTGGCAAGTTGGACTGGGCTGAGGGTCCTACAACAGGACCTGCCCCCCGCCGCTCTGATCCCCTAGGTGAGGTCTATTCCATCACCCTGCTCCCTGCCCTGCCTAGACAGCTGTTAGCTCAGGTTATATGAATTCTTATTAAAGGTGAAACCTTGTGCCAGGCACTGGAGAGTTGTAAAAAAGTGGAGTCTTAATGTTTGTTCTCAGACTTTAGGTCAGAGGCTAGAACATTGTTCTATTAAGTAAGAGCCAAATCAATAGTACCAGCAAAATCTGCTTCAGGATTTAAAGACAGGCAAGGAGATAGAGTAGTCTCTAGGTTATAAATTGTTAGAACTTAGTAAAGGATATGTATGACATTTGTTGTGGTTAGATTTAGGCAGGCAGAGATGCGGAAGGTGTATTTGTGGTCAGGAAACATCTTGGGACTAGTTGGATCAGTGGTTTAAATGTCAGGTGAACAGTGATGTTAAGGCTGAAAAGATTTAGCTAGAGCAACAGGTTCTCAGAGTGAAAGTTGGGCTAGGTAGAAGTTGTGATGTTTTAGGCAGCGAGAAACCCCTGGAGGTTCTTAAATCTGCAAGTGGAGAGATGCATAAATTGGTGGAAATGAATTAAGGCTAGGAGAAGGGGAGTCAGGCAGAACATTTGGAGGCTTCTTTCATAATGCAAGTGTGACCAGTGAAGCATACATTTAGAATAGTGGAAAAGGAAGCATTTGGTAAGGTGGAAATGGGAAGGAAGTACTGGTGAACTTTGGTGAGTGGTTGTGAGTGGATAAGGAAGAGGGGAGAATTCATATGACCATGAATTTTAAATCTAGATTTTTTTTTTTTAATTTAACAAGGATATGAGCACTTGCCACCTGTGCTGGTCATTGTTTTTGGTACAGGGAATTTGGGTGGTATAAGATGTCATCTCTGCCTTCAAAGAGCATAAAATCTGGAGAGTGACTAGAGGATGATAGTAACAGGGAGCAAAGTCTTGTAGTAGTCCTGGGATTTGGAGCACCAGAAGATTAATTTTGAAAAGGTTGTTTGTTGTTTTGCCCTTTGAGGCAAATGAGTAGAGATGAAGGCAGAAGTGATGTATACCAATGGAATTATGAAGTGTGGAAGGGGATGTTAAAGATTTCATGTCATTCTTTCTTTGCTTATCCAAGGTGACAAAATGCTAAGCTGAGAGTGAGAACAGATAACATAGAGTCTAAGGAGAAAAGTGTATGGACTAGGAAGAGAGTACCACAGCATTACTGATCAACTGTAAAGACCATGCTAAATTCCTTGGCATGATTTACTAGTGGTTTAGTATTTAGTTTCTTCTATAGTTCTGTCATTGGGAACACTGGAGTTGCCAAGAATATGAAGCTAGATAAGGCACAATCTAAGATCTTCAGCTCACAGATTAATTCATCAAGTAGAAGACATAAGAAGAAATTATTAAAATATGTTGAGAAAAGGGCAGTAAAACAGGAAGTTAGTGGAGGTCAAATTGGAGGAGATTTTCCAGAGTTCGCTATAGTAATATTAAGTCAGCGGGAGAGCAACATGTAGTCAGAGGGAGCCATAAAGACGTGCAAAGTATCTATTAGGTTCCAAGAAGATAGATGTGCTTGCCAAACATGGTGGGTGTGGAGAGTTTGAGAAGAGTTTTGGAGGCGTGTGAACTTGATTGTAAAGGGCTTTGAATGCCAAATTTGGTAGATCTGTGGAGTGTCTTTAGCTAATTAGAGGTAGGGAATAGAAATTTATGAACTAGAGGGAGACTAGGTTATGTAGTAGCCATGGGTCCAGACCCACGAATATGCCAGAAAGTTAGAGGAAGGATGGCTTATTTGAGTCTGAGCCAACATGAAGTTGTCTTTTCAGGATAAGTGAAGGGAGGTTTTGGTTTGTATAGGACAGGTACTGGTGAGCAGTGAAGTGATAGTACAGGAAAGCAGATTTTAGAGGTAGAGTATGACAGAATTGAAATCATCCCTGAACGGAGATTAACACATAACAGTCTCTGTATTGAAGGAGCAGAGGGTCTGGGTCAGATAGGAAGGGGGAGGGTAAGTGGTTAGCTCTAGTTCTGGAAGGTAACAGGAAGGTAATGGATAAAGGGCATATGATAGATGGAGAAGTATCTTTCTGGTAGTAGAGTAGTGACTGAGAAGAGAGAAGAATCCCTCGGTGAGGGGTGGGTGGAGAAGCAAGGAATCATAGCTGGGAATAAAGTGGCTCAAGTGTTGGCTGGTTAAGATGATGGTTGCCTGGCTGGGGAGGCTGAGTAGGGGAGGAAAGGCTGGGCAGGCAGTGTTTAAATGTTGGAATGAGGAAGAACGCCTCTCTTCTCCGTTCTCTGGGGTCGTCTATACAGAGGGGATAAGAAATGGAACCTGGGGTCCATTTCTTGTTCTTTTAGAACCCTAGTAGAGAATCCAGGAACCTAGGGAACCTGCCCAAACTAAGGCAGGTTTGAAGATCCAGAGCACCTTCTTGATACCCCTGTTTATTCCCAGTGAAGAGCCGGAGGCCATCCTTGGGGGAGTTACTCCTGCGGCATGCACACAGTCCAACCAGGGCCCGGCAGGCCACACAGGTCCTTCAGCCTGGGCGAGATGGAGCTGGACTTGGCCTAGGTGGGGGCTCTCCTGGGGCATCGACTCCAGTTATGCTCCCCAAGGGCGGGGCTCCTGAGCGCCAAGGTGAGGCTCTGCGAGTCAAGAATGCTGTCTACTGTGCAGTCATTTTCCCTGAGTTTCTCAAGGAGTTGGCTGCCATCTCCCAGGCCCATGCTGTCACGTCGCCTTTCTTGTTGGATACTTCAGAGGAGGCATCTGGCCCTCCCATCTCAGGCTTTGGGCCCCTCAATCCTTAATTTTCTTCCATGGACAATCAGGGCCATAAGTGACCTGGGCTGAGGCCAGGGCACAGGCTCCTTTTTATGTTTGGAGGCAGTGGCAAAAGAACTTTTTAATTTATTTCAGATGAATGTTTTATGGAGAACTTACTGCAATATGTATAAAAGGGAAATCTCTATTCTGTGCTCATTCTTTTTTCCCAACCTTTTTCTATGGGGCTGGGTCCGCAAAAATGGTTGTACGTAGAAGGGGAGGTCATCAGGAGTATTCTCTCTGGTGAAGACATTGGTGCAAAGGTTTCAAGCTATCTCTTTTGCCCTTAGAGGCTGAGAGAACTTGAAGCCAAGGGAAAACAGTGAGAACTCTTCCCCTGCCTCTGGACCACAGGAGGAAGAAATAACATGGGCCCAGGATAGCTTGGGGGAATAGCAGCTGATGTTTATTGGGGACCAGTATCCCTTTGCTAGATTTGAGGGCTTTGCCCCCTGCATCTGTTGCTTCAATTTCAGTCGTCGCTGTCGAACTCCGAGGACAGAGCTTGCAGCAGGGCCAGGGACATGGAGTGCCGGTCTGGGTCCCCAGGACCCCCACCCTGGGCTCCTGGTGGGGGGCTGCGGGGGCTGAAGAGCCAGTTCTCTGCCAGGGTTGGGATAGTCACAGCTTGATTCATGCCCTAGTCTTTTTGATTCCCCTGTCCCTCCCTCTGGCCCTCTCTGCTGCCCCCACCCCCATACCAGGGCCGTGCTTCTGATTTACCCTCCCCTGAGTCCCTTATGTCATCCCCTTCACCAGGAATCTTGGGTGCCCCACACATTCCTGGCGTATACTCCCCATAGCCCCTCTCCCCCTTCTACTTTGTCCCTCCCAGCACCTCCTCATTTCCCCTAGAAATACCTGACAGCATCTGGGGCCCTCTCCAGAAGAGGTTTCGGCCCTTGTAGGAGAATCTGTTGGGTCTGCCTTCTGGCCCTGCCTGGGGAGGTGGTGTAGGTGGGACTGGAACAGATGGGGACCCATCAGCTTCGGGAGTATCAGCAGGTGCTGCTGGGGCCAGAGTTGGCATGATTCTGGGGTTGGGTCTGATCCATTTGGCTGAATGAGGCAGTGGGTCTTTGATCAGAGGTTTCTGTGGTCCCACCACTCCCTTGGGCTGCAGTGAAAACTTGAGGCAGGAGAAGGCAACAGGCAATGACCGCTGCAACTGGAGCATCTGGGGCTCACCGGCTGTAGGCAACAGCTCCAGCTGCAGCCAGGAGCAAGAGAAGACCTGGTAGATGACATAGATGCTGTGGGTGCTTCGGAGCCAGGGAAGACTCTGCTGTAGGCTCACCTGCCCTGGTGGCAGCAACAGGAAAGCAACCTTCTTGCGTAGGCTACCCGTATGTAGGCGGATCCAGCAGGACTGCCCATCCAGCAGTCGCATCTCTTCATAGGTAATCTGTGCTCGTCCATTTGGTGAGTATTCCCGAATGCAGTGGGCAAAGGCACCCTCAGATCCTGCTTGTTCTAGGAGGTTTGGTAGTGGTCCCACTGGTTCCAGTGCCCTTCGGCCCTGCCGCCCTGGCAAAGCCAGGCGAGCGTGGGCTGGCCGGGACTTTTTCACTAGCACACCCAGCAGGTCATAGAAGGCTGAGTCTGACAAGAAAGGTACTGCCACTACATTGGATCCAAAGTGTTCCTGGATAACCTGCGGGTGGCCAGTTTGTAAGTCAGGCACTGAGTTAGGGTCAAGAGTGAACTAGCAGTCTACTAGAGATTGACTTTCCCTCTTACTTAGATCTCTACAGCATACCTAGTCTTTTGTTTTTGGTTTTTTGAGATAAGATCTTGCTGGGTAACCCAGGCTGGCCTTGAGCACACTGTGTAGCACAGGCTAGCCTTGAGCTCGTAGTGGCCCTGCCTCAGCCTCCCATGTACTGAGAATATAGGTTATACTTCCTGCATGTCTCCTAGTTCCTTCCTGTAGCAAAGCCTTGAACATCTACTATGTACCAGACTATGCCAGATACTAAGGATACATGAAAGAATGAGACTTTATATTTACCTTAATATACCTCAGTCTAACTGAGGAGACAAAAGGTAAGCAGTAGTAAAGTAATAGCTGAATGTAAAGAAGATGAGTGACTTAATGGCCTTTATCTTTGATAGAAGGAGGTTTCTAGGTAGTAATACTTGTGTTTTAAAGGAATTAACCAGTTAGGAAATGTTACTCCAGGCAGAGTGGATAGCCAGTGAAGAAACACTTTCAAACTATGGGGGGCACATCTAAGAATAAATAATTTCATATGACTTAGATGTTAGGTATGAAGAAGGAAAGGCATCCAAGAACTAGATTTTGAAAGGCCTAGTAGGTCTTTTATAAGTGACTGGAATATTACCCAAGGGCACTTGTTTCCACTTGAAGGGTTCTGGGTAGTAGGGACAACACCAGGTGTGTGTTTTAGGGAGCTGGTTTTTAATAGGAAAACATACGTAAGGAGAATTGATTATTTAACAGTATTGGCAATACTCCAGGTAAAACATACTAAGTAAAAGCTGAAATAATAAAGGTGGGGGAGGAGGGAGCAGAAAGGATTCTAGAAAGATGTAGGTGATAGAATTTCTAGAAATTGGTCACCTAAGGGTTGTGGGAGAAGGACTCTTCAGGGATCATTCCTACGTCATTGGTTACATGGGTAATGTCATTAGCCAAGAATAGGTGCACAGGGATAGGTTTCTAATGTCTATTCTTTATCTACTGTGTCAGTTACTTCCTAATATGTATACTTTCTACCTTAGTCACAGGCATAGTTCTCTTTTAGGGTATTTAAGGCCTCATCTTTGTAATGTTACTTCCAAAATGCTTCTAGGGATTTCAGCTCCCCTAGGTTTTGTTTATTTTGTCCTGCAGATTTTTCTCGGTAACATACACAGTTGTAGAAAGTATTTCATGAACAACTAGGAACCCTATAATGTCCTCTAGTAATTGTACTGGTTTTATGATCTCAACCCTTGCAAGGCTGAGACTGGGTCATTTCATTGGCTGAGACTTTTGGCTGTCTGTTCTAGGGAGTCAGGGCAACCCCCCATCTTCCTCTGTCAGTGGTCCCCTAAAGCTGATTTGTGTTTGGTGACATAAAGCTATTTTGGAAGTGCTAATTCATAGCATTAAAAGGATATCTATCTGATGAAGTTGAGTCTCCACCTGGTTAAAGCAAGATAGCTTGCAGGCTACTGTCTTGTTCATCTGGCCATAGAAACCACTGGTACTCTTTTGATCTTCATGGAAGAACTTCTCATCATTCCTTCTTTGCTTTAATAAGACATGGATCAGTTTCTTTTGGATGGGAACGTTAGGCTAAAGAATAGGCCTCTGAGAAGAGCCAGTTGGGTTTCCAGGGTTGAGAGCAGAGCACTGATGTATTCTCATTTTTGGGTGGAATGATTTTTGCCCCATGATGAAAACCACTAAGGGTAACCTCAGAATCCCACCCTAATTGCTCTTTTGTTTCTAGATCCTGAACATATGAAGTGTCTTCAGTAGGGGTCTCTCCATTAGAAGTGATGTTTGAAATACTTGGCTTATTGTCCAAGTTTCTTCTGAAAGGGTGAATCTTTGGTTTAGCTAGAGGTTCCTCCCCAGCACATACATAATAATTTGCCACGGAGGCTTATTAGTCCCTCCTTACCCTTGAGAGTCCCAGTGGTCATCTAAAGTAGGAAAATGAAGAAGCTGTGCTGCTCTGTTCTTTCCCTAGGGTGACTGTGTTCTTGCTACAGTCACCAGTTGAGACAGCTTTTTGCTCCTACAGAACTTCTCTTTCTGAGTGGGAGTTCTAGGTTTTGTAGGGATAGGCCAGGAAGGTGATGGTGGAAGATTATCTCCCTACATGTAGCTTGAATTCTGAATGGGGAGTTCTTGAGCCACATTCTGTTTAGTGTAACATTTTGTAAAGTGCCCAATAAGTTGTCAGCAATTTTGATGATAGTAAACTAGGATTATTTCAAGGTGCCCTACTCCTTGAATTTAATTTATTCTTCATATCTCTACCCTGATTTTTCTATTGAAATAGTACAGCAAGTTTTTTCATACTCAGAGATGGTATAGTGTTGTGATATTTGAAGAGTAATTTATTGTCATCCTGATTCTAATTGGTCTGATCTGGGTTGAACCATCTGCAGTGCTGAAACCATTTACTCAGATACATAGCAACTCTTTGACTCTCCTTTTTCTGCTTCCCTGGCCTTTATGGTGAGCAGCTTACCAGGGAATGGGTGCTGTATGTCATGAAGGCTGCTTTAAGTCTGCAAGCTTAGTGGGCTATTTTCTGTGAAGGCTTTAAGTATGTCTGCCTTCAAATTAATGTTGCCATAACCTGATCCATAAAGTCTCCCACCTGAGAAATTTGAAGCTATCTAGGCTGCAGCTGACAAGTGAATTGATGGGACATGTTGGATACTTGCAACCCCAGAAAGGGTGAGATCTTTGTGCTTCTTGAAATTAATTTCACTCCAATCCAAATTTCTCATTGTGGGAATTAAGGTGGAAGGAATATCTGAAAGAGGTTGAAGGTAACGATTGTATAGGAAGTTTAAAGGGCTTTCCATGATGTTTCTCTATACTTTTTTTTGGCCTCATTTTGCCACTGCTCATTTGAATTTAGCTCTAGAAGACTTTTGGCAGTCTACAAATATTTTTTTCTTTCCTGTCTTGGCTTTTGCATATGCTCTACCTTTAATTAGTATGCTGTTCACTCCCCCATCCATCTGCTCATTAATTTATTCAGGTATTTATTGTGTCCTTTTTATGTGCCAGCTACTTCTGTCCATTTTTGTATAACTCTTCCTTCCATAGCAAGAATATTCTTCAGGAAGCCGTCCTGATCTCTTAAGTCTTATTCCTGATTTGTGGTTTCCTTGCTATTGTTATAGCTCACTATATTTCGATCTTTAAGGAGCCTTTCTTACTACAGTTGTGATTAAGTGGGGCAGTTTGCATATAGCACTTTACCACTGTGCCTAACATACAAACAAGTACTGAGTAAATGTTAGTTACTATTGTCTTAGGTTTCCCACCCCTTCCTACTCACAAGCTGTTCAGACCCATCCAGATCACATTGTTGTTGCTTCCTTTACCAACCTTATCCTTGATGAGAGTCCAAGTGGCATCAGCTTCATCCAGTGTTAGCAGCTGGGGATTAGTAACCAACATGGTGGGCAGAGCAGTGGCTGTTGCAGGAACCCTGGGCTTCCCTAGAACCCTATGCCTTGGGCTCTGACCTATTGTAGCATGAGGTCATAGAGGTCCTGCTAGGTAATGTTTTGGGTAGGGTGAGAACAGTAATTTTTCTAGCCTCATTACAGCCTGTGGTTCATACTCTTGAGTCACCTACTTTAGGGGAAGAAAATGTTGGTATCTGTTAGGCAGCACTGTGTGTGTGTAATTCTTGGTTTGTGTTCCTTAGGGAAATAGGATTATGTCTCTTCTAGTAGTCTTCCTGAAGCAATTTACTCTTCAGTTAGCTGCAGATAACTTCTTTGTGAGGTTGAATTGGGGTCCTAAAGGATGTAGAAGTACAAGACAGGTCTTACATGGAGAATGCAGCAGTGGTTCTCAACCTTGGCTGCACCTGGAAGTTACTTGGGAGTTTTAAAAATTACTGATGTCTGTTTCTTACTTCCAGAGATTCTGATTTCATCGTTCTGGGGTGAGTGGGCATCACAACTTCTAAAAGTTTCTTAAGTAATTTTAATGTATAGCCTAGGTTGAAACCCATTATTAATGGGTGGGTTATAAGTGCAGAGGAAAACAGGTGTGTGTGTAGGAGGGTACCATGCTGAGCAATGACAGTGTGGAGGGTAAAAATCTCATTCAGTTAATGTTGCCTTAGTAACTGAAGAGAATTTTCAGGGAACCAGAATTACTGAAGTAAAATTGAGGAAAACTTTATTTATCCTCAATTCTCTGTCTTAGGCTAATTTTTGTCTACTAGCTTCTATTTTACTCCAGCTCCTGTTGGTTATATCCCCTTGTTTTTTAATCCAGAAATTTCAACCTAGTATTTTTTTGGTTTGACTTAGAGTCTTTCTAGGAGTTCCTCTCCCATTTTATACCTTATGTCCAAAGAGTCCTCTCTCTGAGCCCCTCAGAGAGCATCCTTTGTGCCCAGGAAGAACTTGTGTGTAGGGAGTATCCTCCGCTGGCTTGGTCCAGATTGTAGTGCTGTCCCACAAAGTTATCTGCCATCTGAGTGCCTGAGATGGTGGGAGTGTGGGGTGGCAAAGCAGTTCTACAGTGGTGGGAGAGAGTGATGTCAAGAAAAATTTCCTAAAGGAGATATAACTGGCCTTTGGGAAGGGCAAGTTTTCCTGAGGCAGTTCTCTTCACTAAATATATGAAAGCCAAGTGTCTTTGGGCTTCATTCTGTTCTTCAGGAGAATAATTAATATCAAATATTTGTTGAGCTCTTCTGTGCTCGGGCCTGTGCCATATATTGGATACGTTATTTTAGTTAAATCCTTTTAGGAACCCCTTGAAGTAGGTACTATTCCATTTTACAAGTGAAGAAAATGCTCAGTGAAGTTACATAATTAGCCCACGCCAGAGAGTTAATAGAGTGGGATTCAAATCTAAGCCTATTTAATTCCACCTTTAACCATTAAACAATAGTCCTTTTGGTAAAAGGAGAAATCAACATTTTCCTTCTGCTTGTTTTAATGTGTGGTAGGAGAGGTGCATGCTGGATGGAAAGTAAAAAGTAGCTTAGAGAAAAGGAAATGGGCAGGATGAGAGAGAAGCCAGCACAGACCAAATCAGATACCCAAAGATTCTCATAAGTGAAGTTCCTCCTGTTAGTAGCCCTTTAGCATGTTTTTTCATTTTTGTGCACAAGGAGAGGTTACTGAGTGTAGTGTAGTTGGCATCTCTGTTCTCTCTGGAGAGGAATTCTATGTGAGGAAGACAGACACAAGTAGAGTACGAGAGAGACATTCACAAGGGCCAAAGACATGGAATAAAAGTGACAGTGCAGGGAGGCGGAGATGGAGAGGTGCTGAGTGAGTGAGAGGGAGTGATGCACATGTAGGTGCTGGAGGGAGCCCAGCATGAGAAGGGGTAAATGAGGTAGATGCTGGGACGGTGGCGTGTTGGTCACATTAGGTGAGAGCCCTTTTGGATTTTTGTTCAATGAGATGGGCTCAGAGAGGCAGTGGGGTAATGATCAATGCTTCAGTGAGAAGCCTATACCTTCTGTCTTTTTATCGTTTTCTGACTGCCATGATTTCTAGGCTTCCTAAATTCCATACTGCTCTACTTTGACATTAAGAAGTCTGTCTTTCCTTTTGGCTCATAGATTGTGAGACTGAAAGTTATTGAAGGAAAACAGATGACAACTGAGTCCTGGATGGAGTTGGTGAGCCTAAGGGGTGGGCTGTTTGGGCCATGACCTGCTGCTGGGATTTGCTTCCAGTGTGGCACATTCTGGGGTCTCCTTGAGAAAGAGGCATAGATCATCTGCAGGATCTCTGAGGGTGATGTGGAGATCACAACAGGAATAAGCAAAGGGGCTATTTATTCTACACTTGATCTTAGCCAAAAGGCTGAAATGCGATGGATGGGGCTGTTTATCCTGGGAATGTGGAGTTCTCTGCACAAACCTCATGGACAGTATAGCAGGGTATAAAATAGCAAAGACCTAGGGATAAAGAGCCCTAACAATCTTCACTTCTCTCAGTCTGTAGAGATAATCATACAAGTCCTTAATACTTTATTTGAAACTTCTGGGGGCATACATCTTTTGGAATTGAGAAGCTTTCAAGTTATAGAAAGGGGAATATAACTATATGCATATATATATATATATTATACATAATATGTATATATAACATATTAAGAAATACCGCAGAGGGATTCAGGGCAGTGTCTTGTAATGAAACACATCATTTCTTCAGTTAAATGTATGAATATTTAAAATGAGATAAAGACTATAAATAGGATCATAAGTTGAAGTCACATGATTTTGAGAGAAAGATAATAAAAAATTGTTTCATCAGAGACTTTTAAACTTAAAATTGCAGGTAATGGGTTTGTGAACTTACAATTAATTCTCAGGTTATAATGAGGAATGAGTGTGCCAGGAAAGCTTTCTAAAATATCACGTAGTAGGTATGTATGAAACCTCATCCAGAACATAATACAAATGTCCAGGGGAGTAGATCTTTGGCTCGAAGGAAGAAAGTTCTTACAATGGACAATGTGTAGCTTTGGAACCAACTACTGGGGAATTCTGCACCCCCAGGGGTTGAAGGTGCCTTAGAAGAGTCTTCCTGTAGTGGGAAGGTGAATTCATTGCTTATGAACATTGGCTGCACATGATTTCCCTTTTCATGTATCGGAGGGGAAAGGCAAAAGCTGTGTATGTATGATATGGGATATTCTTACAAGAATTTCTTTATATTTCTTTATAATGTAATAAATACCTTGTTATACACATGTTTGTTCACATCTTATTTTTTTAAGATACATTTTTATTAAAGAGAAATCACTAAGGATATGGATGTCTTAAAGCCATTCGTATTAGTATTTTGTCACAGTTATCCAGAAAATCATTGCTTGGAGGGCTTTTAAATTGAACTTTGTGAAAAAAATTAGTCTTGAGAATGACTGAACCCATATTTGAATTGATTTTAGATACTCTCTGTACCTACTTGGATTCAGTATAGTAACACTCAGCAATCATGCAGATCCTGTGTGCTCTCTCCAGTTCTTCATCAGGACCTGGTGAGACTCCATGTTCTAGAGATGGCATCTTCTGATTTTTCAGGTCTGCGGCTGCCTCTCCTGGATGGTGTCCTATGGTACTTAGTCCAGCCGTCTGAACTGAGTTGGCTGGGTTGCTCCTGGCTCCAGTTCTTCATGGCTAACATGAATACCCATGGTTGTGATAGTTTTCTCAGAGAGCTATAGCTAGGTCTGCCTGTGCAGCTTACAGTGTTCTTTGACTACATAATAGTGATTTTTGCTCTCTGTACGAGATTTTCAACTCCACGCTGGTATGAAAGACTTTTGTACAGTGTTCCTGTCACTGCAGAGTCCTAGTAGAAAATGAATCCCCTGTTGGACAACACCATGACACTTCTTATTTCATGTCTTTTTCTCTGGCAGTTGCAGCAGTGTGAAATATGCCTATTTCATCATATTGCATCAACATCATGTTCTGTAAGTGACATTGACTCAGATAGATAGGGATGTTGGGGAATTCATTTGGGGTGCTACATTCTTGGTAGAGGGTACATATGGGCAGATTAACAAGAGGTCCTTGTGACCAGGCAAACAGGTGATATGATCATAATAATTTTCTGGGACACCACAAGTTTTTTTATATGAATCCCTACCCCTGAAGCTGCAGATCCAGGGGAAAATTCTAGCTGTTAATTCTTGGGGCTTTGGTAGGGGTTGGGATAGCGATTATACATGAGATCAAGAGGATTCACTGAGTTGGGAGTGTCTTAAAATAAAACTGTTCTGGCCAACTTGACACCAGTCACATCCAGATTCTCAGAAGGTGGGGGATCCCAGAGAAGCACCTAAGCATTTTCTTCCAGTGGTAGTGCCAACCTCTGTGGCAGTGCCAAGCCCCCAAGTTTGGGATCTGTAGAGGAGCTTAGGCAGACAATTGTAGTGACAGGAGAAACTTGATGGGTTTGGGGTGTAGGGGACTTACATTCTAAATTCGATGTTGAAACAGTAAACTTGAAGAGGTAAAGAGTTGAAGTGGGGGCTTGGAAGCATCGGTGAAAGAGAGATGGCAACAAGAAAAGATTTCCTTCAGTTTATTTATTAAGGTCCCAGCTACCCCCTATTTTATTTTCCTTGCGTGATAATGTACAGCCCCTTGCCTTCGGCTTCCTCTCAAGCAGGACACAGGGCCAGCCCAAAGTCTACAGGTGCCAGTGGTGCACACAGTTGGAGCTTCACAGAAAATATCTGCCGAGTCCTACACAGTCCTACACAGAGAGAACCCACACTGCTGATGCCTGCATCCCTGTGTCCCCCCACTTCACCTCCACACCTACTGTACTCTTGTCATTAGAACTGGCCTTTTCTGAACGTGAACATTTCCAGGAGCCGGTCCCTGATCTGCTTGGTGCGAGCACCATAGATGAGGGGGTTGAGGGCCGGTGGCAGCAATAAGTAGACGTTGGACAGCAGGATGTGCACAGGCTTTGGGACAGTGTGACGACCAAAGCGGTGTGTGAGGTAGGAGAAGAGACCAGGCACGTAGAAGGCCAGAATGACACAGATGTGAGAACTACATGTGCCAAAGGCTTTGGCACGGGCTTCCCAGGTCGGCAGCCGCAACACAGCTTGGGCAATGAGCCCATAGGAGCCAGTGATGCCCAGGATATCCATGCCGGACACGGCCAGTGAAAGTGCCAGCCCATACAAGTTGTTGGCCCGTGTGTTGCCCACCACCAGCTCCACCACTGCCATGTGTGCACAGTAGGCATGGCGTATGGTCTTGGCACAGAAGTGCTCAAACCGTGCCACCAGCAGAGGGAAAGGCACAACAATAGCTACAGCTTTGAGTGCCAGTGCTAAAGCTGCATAGCCCACGCGGGCCTTGGTGACTAGGACAGGGTAGTGTAGGGGGCGCCCCACTGCCACAGCACGGTCACAGGCCATGGCGAAAAGCACCCCAGATTCCACAGCAGTCAGAGCATGCACAAAGAACATCTGGACCAGGCAGGCAGCATACGGTACAGGTCGGGGCCCAAGCCCCAGCACAGCCAGCAACCCTGGGGCTACTGATGTGGCCAAGCCCAGGTCTGTGGCTGCCAATGTGGCCAGAAGAAGAAACATGGGCTGGTGCAGTGTGGGGTCTGTGCGCACCACTGTCAGAAGTGCCCCATTACCCAGCAGGGCCAGCAGATACATGGGCCCAAACATGAATGTCAGCCAGGCCTGGGCACCCCCTAGCCCTGGAATTCCCATCAGTGTGAAGAAGGTGGGGCGCAGGAAGGTGGAGTTGCACTGTGGAGTTTCTACCATACTTTGAAGGTCTAAGCTATAGGGTTCACGTGGGCATGATTCTGAACAAGGGAGGGACAAAAGGACAGATTTGGGGAGTGTCACAGTGACACAAACCCATCCATAGGGGTGGTGAAAGGCCGGGAAGATCACGAGGATAACCCTAGCTTGGTGGAGGCAGGTTGGATAATTATGGTCATAGTCTTAGCAAGGACGAGAGAATCCTCTGTTCCTAAAAATCCACAAGGGCTGCAGGGGTAGAACTGGGGGGCAGTGATAATGAGGGAGAGGCCAGAGGAAGGGGTGACTGCTGAGTGATAACTGGAGATCAGCTGAGAGGAGAGCTGAGAGCAACGCTCTTCTTTCAGGTCCGAGCGGAGTCAGTCTCGCCTCTGGATTCTGGGGTAAAACCAATGTTGGGTGGGAATCAAGGTATCCTGTCCTTGACTGTGTATCTTTGGGAGGGACTTCCGGGCCTCCGCTTTCTCACCTCAAGAAGGGGAACGGGCACAAGGATCTTAGGTGTTTCCCAGCCTTAACATTCTGTGCACCAACCCTCCAAGAAGTAAGCAGAGTGTGAAGAAAGGGAGAAACTAATGGGAGGCCGATGGGATCTGGAGTGAAGCCGGGAGCTTGGAGTGACAGGAGAAACTTGATGGGTTTGGGGTGTAGGGGACTTACATTCTAAATTCGATGTTGAAACAGTAAACTTGAAGAGGTAAAGAGTTGAAGTGGGGGCTTGGAAGCATCGGTGAAAGAGAGATGGCAACAAGAAAAAATAAAGTTTTTTCTTTTTGTCTCCTTTCGCTTTCATCTTTCATGATCCAGAAGGATGGTGGCGGTGGTCTCCACTAGAGTCTTGTTCCTGGGGTTTCAGAGTCGAAGTGTCAGAGGAGGTGGAAATTGCACTCAACCCAGGGGAGCACATGTATGAGGAAGAAGCAGTTTTGATATTGGAAGAGTCAGGATAGACTTCCCAGCGTAGACAGTTCTTCTCAGCAGAAGTTTAATAACCGCTGAATGAGGAAGAAATTGACTGACGGGGGAACGATCCTAGGCACTGTGCGTTGGCAGCTTCTCTCCATCTTGGCCAGTGCAGCGGGGCCCTTTATGTGTCTCTTCTCCTGCATCCCTCAGGGCCCTTCTCCCGCTCACCTGTGCCACATTAACTCTTCCCTGTCCTGCCTCTGCTCAGTGCTGATGCGCTCAGTAAGGACGGGAGGAAGGAGAACATGGAGAGGGAAGAGCTTGGAGGGAGGAACGCTTTCTCTGGGCCCTGGAGTCTTGAGAGTTACGTATTAATAAAAAAATTTTTTTAAGGAATGCATAAAAGAAAATTATGGTCTTGAAGCTAAAAAAAGATCCTGCATTACTTTTAAGAACATCTATCCTACTCTCTTGGAGCTACTTCAGTCTTCTCTCTCCACTAGATTGAAAGAGTCACACACATTGTTTATTGTCCATGCTATCTTCACTGCTTATTACAATGTCTGGCTTGTGGTTGGCTGTGAATAAATATTTGTTACCTTTAGCTAGTCCAAATAGCCTATCATGACTAACAGGGATCTATAGTTTTAGCAGCCATAAGTATCCATGAAGAGAAAATTATTTACTGTCAATCACAAGATGCAAAAATCACACAAGACCACAGGGCTTATTGGAAAATGTGGACAGGGGCATAACATTCAAAAATTTTATCAGTGAAAACTTTAAAAAGAGATAGGAATCCAACAAAAATGGCAGAACTGTTTTACACATGTTAAATGGTTAGAAACCAGAATATAAATACTACAATACATATGTGATACTTCACCTAAAAAAGGATTTGGAGTTTCCCGTGTGCCAGTGAGTGCTAAGAGCAAATTGTGAAATACTGTCATGCAGTGAAGGATGCTAATCTGTGATGGGTAGAAAGATGTTAACCCAGATCTGGTTGGGCGTAGCTCACAGCACAAGTGGTGAGCAAGGTAGCTGATGGTGTTTGAGTTGTGTGCATGCTGGGCTTTCCTATGCAGTTCAGCTCACCATTTTTGTGTTTCTCAAAAATGGAGTCACATATAGGTAAACTTGAAGTTCACATTATGGGGCTGGGGATTTAGCTCCGTGGCACTGTGCCTGCCTCGCAAGTGTAAGGTCCTGGTTTGACCCCCGTACTAAAGGAAGGAAGGAAGGAAGGAAGAAAAATCACATTATTCACATAATTGTCTAATTTTTTCAATTATATTTGAACAAATTTTCATTTCAAAACCAGCATTTTAGCAGAACTAATCGACTCTTTTTCTGGCCCTGTGCCAGGGGGTGAATACACAGCAGTGACAATAACAAGACCCTGTGGCCCTGAGGGAGCTCGCAGTCTAGTGGATACCATGACGTAAACAGCTGTCAGAGGGCTGTAAAGACAGCCGCATTGACTCAGGTCAGTACCAGATAAAATGACGGCACAGAGAAACACATTCCCTTTTCCTAAGGGAGTCAGGGGAAGTGAGTCTCCCAGAGTGTCCTATGTGCACACCTTGCTCTAATCCCTAACCTCATCATAGTCACTGGAGGGATAAAATCCTTTTTTCCAGTTTTTTAGATAAACTAAGGCACAATGAGATTAAGTAATTTGCTGAAGGTCACACAGCTAGTAAATACCAGAGTTAAGGCAATAAAAGAGTCTGGCTTTATCATACTTACTGGTAGTCATTACTTTGAGCATTTTAGCTGAGGTTTAACACATGAGTAGGAGTTCCTGAGAGTAGCTGGGGCAAATTTAACCTGTTCCTAGGACAAGTATTTCAGAAGACTGTGGAATTGGCAAGTGGGGTCAAGATTGCTGAAGGGGCCTGTGTAGCTGTGATTATTTGCCAGTGGATGGTGACCTCTTATCCGCTCAGAAGGTAGAAGCAGTGGGGTGAGAACCATGAAGAAGTGGGTAGGAAAAATTGTTTTTTGCCTCAAGAGAATGCTAGTGAGAGTTCAGGCTGTTATACATTCTTGCTTCTTGTCAAAGATTGTTTATAAGATAAATCAGAGGCTGCTTTAGTCAAGTAAGTCCAAAATTAAAGTAACTTTACTTTATATAGAAATAGTCTGTATTTTGAATTTCCCACTCTCCAGTAATCCAAGATGTACTTGAAGATGTTGTTCTAGAAAATTCCTTCATTGTTCTCTTAGTCGTCAGTCCCTGCTTATAGAAGCTCTCTAGGCACATTTTGGGTCACTTGACCGCTTTTTGCCAGTGACATAAGTCATCAGGGCAGGGGATTTGACATCTGTGGCCATGTAGGGGTATATGCCAAAGCCTGCTCCCTAGAAGATGCTGGTTATCTTCAGGGAGTGGGGTGGCAGGAGGAAGAGATGATTCATTGGTTCTCTCAACTGCTGTTAGATGGCATGGAAAATAGGACAGCTGGGTTATGTTTCAAGATTGACTCTGATTTTCTTACTTCTTTTGCTAATGCAGCTACCACCAATATCTGTCATACAATATGGTTCTCAGATGTTACTATCTTGTGTCCATGTGGGGCCTGTTCTGCTTTCTGCTTGAAGGGGTGCTTTAGTAATAACACATAAGAGTACATTATCCATTCATTCAGTAGGTTACAGATCAGAAATCTTGGATCCTAGTGGTGCTGCTCAATACTTAACTCCTTTGGAATTTTTCTAAGGTAAACTCTCAGTTGTCAACTCATAATTCCTAGGCCAATATGAGACCCTTCTTTGGTGAGTAGCATCACAATAGTTCACTTTCTCTGTTTCCAAGGCATTACAGAAGGGCATGGCAGAGGAAAGCAGAGAGAAGGATCAAGGGAGGGAGAAGGAGATGGACCCTTCCAGGCTACCCCAGTGAGCCACCTACTCCAACCTGGCTTCATCCCATCAGATGTGGCTATAAACTCATAAGTGGACTAATATTGTGATGAGTATCACACTCCTGTGATCCAGTCACCTCCCAAAGCTCCCAAAGTTTTCTTCTTCATTCTGAGGCTTCTTATACTTATTTCTGTTATCATGAAAACTCTCAGCCTTTTTTCTTTCCTTGGGCCTTAATCACAACTTCCTAAAAGGTAACATAAGAAGTACATTTGCCTCATTTTGAAAATTTTATACCATTTGACCATCACTGTACTAAAAGCATCCTGTATTCATATTCATGCCAATTCATAGTTTTGCCTTTCATCTCACTAGGTTTGCTTTTTTTCCCTTTGACCACCACTGCCTCTAGTTTTACATGTACTGGGGGTTTCAGTGCATGCATTTTGCTCATATCCATGTCCTTTATTACCTGCACTTGCATTCCCTCCACCTTGCTATTATTCCCTTCCTATTGTCTAGTAATATTCTCCTATCCTATCATATAGGCTTATCCTAAACATGATTTAAAAGAGTATTAGTTATCTTTTCCCAAAATATAAATTTCACAAGTATTTACTGCAATAACAACAAAAATAAAAATGTATAAAGAAAAAAGTAATAATCTCTACTTTGTCTTCTTTCCAACTCCTCTTCCACTCGTAATATAATTTCTTGTTAATGTTTTATTGTTCATTCTGTCATACCTTTCTACATACAAATATATAGATATATAAACATAGATATTGTATTTAGTTATTAGGGTTTTTAAATGATTTTGATCTCAAATGTGTTTTCTGCAATTTTTCTTTTACTCATTTGACAAATATTTAATGAGCACCTTTCTTACATAAAGTACTACACTTAGGAGCCTAATGATAATATACTGCAGGAATACATGAGGTTAATAGCTATAGCTATAATACATGCTTTTTGAGTTGTATACACACAATATGTTTGATTATGGGATAATTATATACTCTTGCAGTTTTGAGAAATAATAGATATCATTTATGCAGTTTTTCCTAGTATTAACAGCTTGCAAAACTATTACAACCAGGATATGACACTGTTACTGTTAACATATATAAAAGTTTAATTACCACAAAATATTTTTCTTTTTATATGCATAGCTGTCTCTTCCTTCTTATACTTCCATTGTAAACTCCTAGACATCACTAATCTCTATTTCTACACTTTTGTCCTTTAAACATGTTGTGTAAATGAAATCATGCAGTATAAAACCTTTTAGAATTTTTTGACTTGGCATAATTCCCTCGAGTACCATCCAAGGCATGTGTATATAGTTCCTTGATTTTCAATTACTGAGTGGTATTTTATGGTATGGACATACCAGTTTGCTTAACATCTATCGAAGTTTTTGTGGGAATGTAAGTTTTGATTTTTCTGAGATAAATCCCTGAGTCCAATTGCTGGGTCATGTGTAGTTTTTATAATGTAACCATAAACACTCATGCCATAGACCGAACATCCCCCTGCCTCCAATTTATATGTTGAATCCTAACCCTCAATGTAATGGCATTTGAAGATGGGCTTTTGGGAGGTGACTAGATGATGAAGGTAGAACCCTCATGAATTACTGCCCTTATATAAAACACCCCAGAGAGCTGTGTCATCTTCGTCATGTGTTAGCAATCTGTAAACCCAAAAGCAGGCCCTTGCTGGACAATTAATCTGTAATGCCTGTTCTTGGACTTTACATCCTTCAAACTGTGAGAAACAAGTATTTGTAAAGCCACCTGGTCTATGGTATTTCAAAAATTGAAGCTCAGGGTAAGACCCTGTCAAACTGTTTTCCTGAGTAACCGTTATACCATTTATATTTCTACCAATAATTTCTTATCTGTATATTTTTTATTTTTCTACCCTTATTTCACTGGTTAGAACTTTCAATATTATATTGAATAATATTGGTTTGAGTCAGTATCTTTCTTGGGTTCCTGACCGTGAAGAAAGGTGTTCAGACTTTCACCATTAGTGTGATTTTAGCTGGTTTTTTTTGTTTGTTTGTTTGTTTGTTTTTTGTAGATTCTCATTGTCAAGTTGTAGTCATTGCCTTTATTTCTAAGTTGGTAAGAGTTTTATTTGTCGGAGACTCATGTAGTCAGCTTCCAGTGCCCAACTTCCCAGTATATGATTCAGGCCTGAGAAATAAATACACGAAGAGACAGAACTAAGAGGGAGAAAGCAGGGTGCCAGGATGATCAATGTTGGTGCAACTGACAAAGGTGCTGGATTGTCCCAGGAACTGACTTTAACTGGCAATAGTTGGGGTAAAGGCAACATGTGGTTTCTATGGAAATTAATATGAACAAGGCTCATAAAGGACAAGACAAAACATTCTCAAATTAGGAACAAAATAGACAAAGTAATGATCATAATTAGAACATTGTCCTTTAGTCTGAAAGTTGTGGGGACGGAATTTGGGTGCAAGTTAATTCTGACCTTGGTATGTAGGCTTTGGCCAGACTCACTTCTATAAACAAGCCAATTGTGGGGTTAACTCTTCACAGCCTGCTTTGGGTGTAATCAATATTACAGTCCTCTGCATTATTCATGAATGGATTTAGGATTTTGCCTACAGCTTTTACTGGCTGCAGGTGATATGATCTTAATTTTTCTAAGCTTGTTGATATGGGGAATTACATTGATTGTGGAATGTTAAACCAATCTTAATATACCTGAAATAAGTTCCATTTGGTTATAGGGCATAATTATTTTATACCTTGTTGGATTTGACTTGCTAATATTTTATTGAGACATTTTTGCTGTTGTAAGTATTGTTTTTTGTTTTGGTATAGCTTTCATTTAGATTTAGTTCAGGGTAATATTGATCTCAAAATAAATTGGGAATTGCCTTCTACTCTTATTTATTTTTTGGCTTTTTGAGACAGGGTCTCACTATGTAGTTGAGACTGACCTGGAACTCACAATATAGCCCAGGCTGCTCAAATTCACAGCAGTCCTCCTGCCTCAGCCTCCCGAGAGCTGGGATTACAGGCCTGCGCCACCACGCCCGGCTTCTACTCTTTTATTTTCCGAAGAATTGTATAAAGATGAGGCTGAGGATTTGGCTCAGTGGTTCTGTCACCTACCTCACAAGTGCAAGGGTCTGAGTTTGATCCCCGGTGCAAAAGAAAAGGGATTGTTGTAAAGATTGGCCTTAAGTCTTAAGTTTAGCAGAATTCTTCAGTAAGATAGAGTGGGCCTAGAGACTTCTTTTCAGAAGCTTTTCAATTACAGATTTAATTTTTAAGATGGTTGCAGATTATTTTATCTTGTTTGAGGGTTTTTGATTGGAGCTTATGAGAACTTGGTCTATTTCTTCTAAATACTCAGATTTACTATCATGAAGAAGTTTTTCATAGTGTCTTAGATACTTTTCTTGTTGCTTAGACAAAATACCAGACACCCAAAATTAAAGGCAGAAGAGTTTACTTGACAGGTAGTTTGTAGAGGTTTCAGTCCATAGTTGGGTGGCGTGGCAAAGGGGTATTGCAGAGGAGAAACAGTTCATGACAGGCAGTAGGCAGAAAAGCAGTGAAGCAGCATCAGCAG